GGAACATCTGGCTGAGGCCTAATGGATGGAACTTGGCAGCCCAGATGCTCGTCAACATCTGCCAGCATTCTGGTTGGAAGGTCTTAAATCCTAAATGATGCTCTAACGGCTAACGGGCCAGCCAGACTCTCGGCAGCGGGCGACAGCGACTTGAAGCTGAGGTATTGCTTCCTGCCAGTGCACTGGAGCTACGTCTCCAAAACAATGAGAGTCTTCAGAATGGCCCCTGGCCGAGGCAAAAATCGGAGTGTCCTCTTCATCTCTCCAGCGCGGACTTCCTCGCTGTCCTCGCCACGGCACAAACGATGGACGAAGGCAGCCGACCTGGCACTGGGCAACCGGACTGGGACCCAGGTGAAAAAGCACATGCCAGAGGGGCTGTTCACCGACCAGGCGCTGTAGCTCTGACAAAGACACCTGGCTTTCAAGCTCAACGCGTGCCGGCGACAGAAAAAGCTCCAATCTAGGCTGTCTGTCACGCAGATACCTCCCTCTGTGGCACTCCAACGACATGCAGGGCCTTCTGAAGCTCCGCAGTCGGGGCCTGATCCACAGAATCTGGTCTGCACCCCCGGCCCTCCGTCGGCCCATCTTAGCTACAAGCAGCCTCGGGCTCCAGTTGCAGCGCGCCCAAGAGCTTCTGCCCGAGCTTGCCGCCAAGGCCGCGCCTCAGTGTCTCTTGCATGCAAGCTCATACTCTGTTCTGAGCTCTCCTTGCATGAAGGCCTGTGAGCAGCTTTGTGTTAATACATGGCGCAAAACGATGCATGCGTAGGATCTTTACAAATTTCGCATCTGTACAGCTCGCTTTGGAGACTATGTTCCGGCGCGCTTTCATAATTTGAACAGCCCCGCCCGCACTAAAAGAGCTGTCTGCAGTTTATTTGAGCGAACCCAGCCGAGTGGAGTCATTGGAGCTCTTGTCCTGACCTGTACAAAATTAATTGCTCGATCGTGCTCTGTGCGCTGTACACTTTCTGACTTCTTGTAGGCATCGCAAGGCGACAAGGACTTCGGCAATGTCGCTGTTCGTCCTTCCACGGCTCACGGAGAGCTATGGCTTCAGAGGTAGGCAAGAATTTACTTTTCCGCCTGGCATTGCGACATGTCGGCGTCTCCAGCCGCTACACCATCTCTGTGAGTTGCCTGTCTTGGCCGTGAGAACCATCCGTTCCGTCATTCACTTCCACCCACCAGACAAAGAAGACACAGAATGGTGCCTTGCTTTCTCCTTCTGCGCCAGAAGGGTGCCTATGTAGTGGCCCATTGCCTGATCGGCTGTGAAGGCTTGGTATGTTTTGTGCATTACACGAAGAGAGGCACGCAACTGCACAACCCGGAGCCAGGCCATGATTGTACCCTGAGGGTTGACACCTGAGTTTGTGCGATGATATACGGTCCATGCAAAGCACGACTACACACGTTCTTCGTGATTAGTGCTGCCTTGCGACGTGTTGGATTCGGAAAGACTGATGCATCCACAACCTTCAGAGCCACAAGCAGAACCGAAGTGGCATCCGTCCGAAGCCGCATGGTGCAGACAAGAAACGTGCAAGTTGCTTGTGCCCTTGACAGTGAACTCCGGACCGTCGATAACTTTTCCATACGAAGCAGTGCTGAAGTAGTGGTATGACGACACCATCGTCTTGCGAAAGTATTCCTTAAAGCGGCACAAATGTGTACGCACTTCGCTGCTTGCTTTCTGGACACAGTACTGACAACATTAGCCAGACTTTCAACATCTTGCCACGTTGGTCCAAGACTCAATATACTGCTCCCTCGAAGCTGGTGCATCCGGAAGACATGGGACAATGATGGCCTTCGCGTCTGTCTGCGGGCCGTTCTGTATGCAGCTGAGATAGACCTCTTCTTTAAGTCTCTGCTGGAAAACTGGCTAAACCAATGTGGGGCTGTGGGGGTTCTGGAATGGTCATTCAAGAAAATCGCAATTACTGCATAGCATCAAAGGGACCGGAACCACGGCATTCACTCCGCTGAAGCTCTTTGCGCCGACGAGGTCTGCCATTGCTTCGCTTTCGATCAGCTCCTGAAGCGCCGCCATGGCCGTGAATTTCTGCTCCATGTCACGTGGGTCCTGATGCGGCTCGCTCTTTAAAGGTCCATAGCAAGCTGAATGCAGGCAATGAAACGGTCTACTGGTACTGGTCTGATACATCCAGCCTTCAGGTGGTTCGCCGTAACTGACGGAGGCTTCCGAGCGTCTGTAGATACCGCAGTGACGCTGCCACGCGAGAACGTCTCGTGATTCAGAGCTACAAACTGGATCCTGGGCGCATTGACGGACGCCGAAAATGAATCCATCGTTTCGATGAACGTGGCACCACACCAATCACAGCAGCATGACTACAGCGCAATCACATAAAACAAAGTCTGCCGAGGTACATGTTGTCCATGACATGAGCAATGGGCCCCTCAAACAAAGGAGTCATCGTCTTGCGCAACAGCTCTGTACGCTGGTTGGGGGGTACCAAGGCCAAAGAAGCAATCGCAAAGGCGCTCGCCACTTTTCCCCAAGCTGACAGGGATAGTTCTCAGCAACAGCAGGCACTATATTGATGCTATTGATGTTGCTTTTCAATGTGCCTGGCGCTTTTCGTCACTCCCTTGCGGCCTTCGGTTTCGAAAGTGATCTGCGAGCTGGAGTTTGCAGCCATTGCGTAGCCGACATTGAGGGGGCCCCTTTCCGACGACCACACACCTGGAAAGCCAGAGGACGCATGTTACACTGTCCGGCTACTGGGTGGAAGACTGCTGCAGCCGGGGTGCCGAAGTTCAGAATGTTTCGATCCACGAAATTCTGGCCAACGTCTGGGTTCGATACAACCTCTGGAACACCCAAGCCACGGAGCAATGCCGGGTCACCAATGCCTGACACTTGAAGAAGTTGCGGGGTGAAAATGGCACCAGCAGCCAGAATCACACCCTTTCTCGCAGTCAGGGTGATCGTTTCTTTGAAGTTGTTCTCCACCCGCACACTGGTGGCTCGGCCGCTCTCAAAATTGATTTTCATGACCTGGTAGTTGGTGTAGAATCTGAGATTGGGCATGTTGGAACGCCTTGGATCGTCCGCACCCCCAAGCCCAGACATACCGCGAGATGAAACCGAAGGAAGCATTGCAGCCAAGTTGCATGTGAAGCAGGTCACCGGCACCCCGACGAGACCAGGTTCGCTCCGTTGTGTTGAACGTGGAATAGGCGACCTCTGCCACACTACTCAACACTTACTTACCTACTGCAAAGTCACGCGTTCGAGAGGGGTTTTCTCTGATCTGCTGCGAGTTGCCCAGGAGCTGTTGGAGGACATGCGCAGGCTGGGCTTCGGATCCAGTGAGCCAGCTTTGGCTTCATGGAGGGCCCGGACAAAGCGCTGGCCGTAGCTGGAGGGTTGTAGAGGCTCTGCGAGTTGCTCAGCCACCCAGCGAGAACTCTCGTAGAATTGAGTGGTGTTGAACTCCTCCCCAGAGAATGAGAAGAAGACACCACTGAGTTTATGAATTATGAAGCCTTCAGACTTAAACACCGGAAACTTGCGAGGGGGGAGCCTGGCCAAAGTTCTTCTCGAAGTACTCCGGCTCCTCCTCTATGTAGAGTCCACCATTGATTTCTGTGCCACCACCCAGGACATTTGCCACTGCACCCCAGGTGCCATCAGTCCACCTGATGTTCTGGGCAGCTTTGGTGTTGACAACCTCCGGCCATGTGTTGGCAAATTCAGTTTTGGGCACGTCCAGATCGGAATGACCGCGCTCCAGGACAAGGACATCCTGTCCAGCATCTGCCAAGGCGGCTGCTGCCGTGCAACCCGAAGCACCTCCCCCAACTATGATCCAGTCGGCACCTTCTGGAGCAGGTGCGGGCTTCGCACAGTGGCCTTCGCAAAGCACGTGCAGAAATCCACAACCCCTGTCGCCCACCAGGGTTCCGCCTTGTGAGCAGTGGCTGTAGAGGCTTGCTGGACACGCTTTGCACTGGCCATCCCAGTACAGCTCTGGCTGAGGTGTGGGAGTTGACTGTGGAAGGCGGCATTTTGCTTCACAGTGTGCATGGGCTGGCCCGCATCCTCTCTCCTGCACGATCGTCCCTCCCATTGCGCAATGGCTGTCTGCATACAAACTTGCCGGACATGCCGTGCATTGGCCATCCCAGTAGAGCGTTGGTTCTGGAGCCCCAGATAGGAGAGGTTCTGTGCACTTCCCCTCACAGTACATGCCCCCAAATCCGCAGGCGCGCTCGCCAACCAGAACACCCCCTCGAGAACAGTGCGAATACAGCTTGGCAGGGCAGGCCGTGCACTGCCCATCCCAGTACACGTCGCTGGGGGGCCAAATTGAACCAGAGTCAGAATCAGCCTTGGCATGGACAGCAGAGAGGATGCATGCCATTGTGGCAACCCCGTCGGACAACTGAATGCCTTCTATTCCTACCCAGACGCCCTTGACATTTTCAAGATTGTGCCGCTCATGGCACTGCTTCATTTACGACATAAGCCTCCACGTACGAGATTGATCCCGCTACCACTGTGCGCATGATCTCGTGCCCTTGCGAATCGCCCGGAACTTCAACACCGCCGCTCTGTTGTGATGATCGAACTAGTTTCAGGCTCGCAATGCATTGTCTAGTCTAGGTCCTTTGCAGAGAGTGGTCGGCACATGTTGCTCCCAGGCATACAAGTGGCACTCACTGATGCTGCCAAGCAAAGGAACAGGCCGATGTTTCTGGAACCTGCCATCTCGGCTAATTACAAGCTACAAGCTACTCGCCGGCTTGTTGCAGTGACAAAACTTGAGCCGCAAGCTTCGAATGCACATGGCCACCTGCCCTGATTTTGGACCTGATGCGCGAAACATCGCATCCACAGAAGGCATAAGTAACGACCAATTCACAACCTCCTTCGGCGGCAGCTCCCTTTTTCACCCCATGATTCCCCGGTGACACGGTACCCCATGTTTCCCTGTGATCTCTCGGATTGCCATCGCCGCTCAGGCACCGCCCTCCGAGATGCGCTTCCGCTTTGCAGTGGGCTCGTTAAGCTCATTTGGCTCCTTGGCCTTGGCCTGGCGAGATCTGCCAGGCACCATAAGACAAGCCAAAGTGCAACGCATGAGGCAAGCCCTGTGACAGCTTAAGACTGTGGCACCTCCAGAGCTTCTTGCTCTGCTTCCTTCTCGAACCTCTCCCACTCTGCACTGTCGAGTTCTTCCTGAACGCGCTCTACCGGTGAACATGTTCAGAGTCTGCTTGTTGCGGACAGCCTTTCCTCCTGGGTGGTCTCGAGGATCCAGGGAGGTATTGCGTGCTCTGGCGATTGGAAACCGCGGCAGTCAGGATCGAAACACTTCCTCAGTGCATGGTGCATCGGGCAATCGGGTGACATGTTCCATCTCTACTACTACCTATCTTTAGCTGAGGTGCTGGTAGAAGGAACGTCGTTCCACATCGACAACCATGTACACATGATTTGAAACGTGGGATGAGCCCTTGCACCGGCAGTAGCGATTGTTTGACAGAGTAACTGTCGAAAACCGCCGGTCCATCTCGACACAGGATTGCACAAGTGTGGGAGGAAACGGTCCTTGCTCCTCTTCTGCTCGAACGTAGTCCCAAGTTCGCACCAAGTAGTTGAGGAGAGGATCCTGTTGAATGACTTGAACTTTGCCCTCGGAATCGCGCACGACTGCGGGGCCCGCACGCCGAACTCGCAAGGATTTTGCATCCATGTGCCCGAAGCCCTCGGGTATCAGAGCGTGTCGGAAGAGTTCGGTTTTCGGTGGCACAAAGGTGACCATGGTCTCCAGCATCGCGACGGTTGGGTGTGGACGCCAGTAGCGAAAAAAGCGTTTGCCCGAGGCTTCGTCCAGCTCAAGGCGTCGGTTCTTCGCAAACTTCGATTGAAAAAGCAAGCGAAAGGAGCGATTGCGGCTGTAAACCGACTCGTCGACTAGTGTTGTCTCGCGCCCGTCAGCATCTGACGACTTGGGGGCTTGCACAAACAAGTGCCGTGCTGAGCTGCATTCGCGGTTCGCTCTGGCATAGTTCATGAGCTCATTCACGAACAAGCCAGCCTGAGCATTGTTTGCAAAGGCGAGCGGAACCGTTGTGTCCTTCTCCTTGTCCAGCAAGCGATGCACGACTACGTGCTTTGAGAACTTCTCCGGAGTTGATGACTCCAGGACAATGATACTGTTAGCGTCCAGCGCCAGGCCGAAGACATCTTGACAAAAGGATGACAGTGTTTCGTCGAAGGCAGTCATTGCAAGCTCCGGCTGAAGCTCAGGATTGGTCAGTCTGGAAAACTCCAAATCAAAGTATAGCCAACAGGGCTGATCTTCAAGAATCACCTCAACATGCAATGCTCAGGCTTGCAGCAAGACCCTCAGAAACAGCCCAAAACAGCCGCTTCCGCCTCGTAGAGATGGTTCTTCTCGGTGGGATCCGTATCTTTGGGATACCACGACGGAGCGTGCGTGTGCACAAAGCCGGCAAGGGTATCAACTTTGAACCTGCTCGGGGGAATCTGGGAGCCAAGGGTCCCAAGCAAGATGCAGGGCCCAAGAGATGCCTCCTCTTGCCACCGGCTCCAACTTCTTTTGCGAAGAGCCCCACCTGAAACTAAGCCACAACCAACGGTCTTCGGCTTCAGCTTAGCCCTTCCAGCACCTGCCACCTCTCGTACTCACCGTCTTCGACGAGCCTTAGCCACAAACGCACCACCATGTGACAAAGAGCCGACAATTCCTCCGCTGGCCAGGTGGCTTGTGCAAGGCCTGCACAGCTTCATCTTGTCGGTAGAAGTCCTTTGGTGCGGGGTGCAATCCTTGGCTTCGGCTTCATTCACAAACCGAGGGCCGTCTTTTTGCCAGTGAGCAGGTCGAGCACGTGTGCATTTGTGATAGAAGATAGATACCTAACTTAGAGCCTGGGAGCCTACAACAACAAACGCACAGACCATCAGGGAGAGCACCACAAGTATGGCCCCAAGCATAAACGCATAAACAAAAGACCTTTGCGAGCCATGACACCACTCCATCCTGGGAGCTTTGTCAGATTTCTCAAGTTTCTGAGGACCAACTCATCCGCCTTGCTGGCTGTGACCCCAACCATGGCATCTGCATTTGGAGAGGAGGGAAGAGAAACCCCTCCTCAGTCGACCTGCGCAGTGCTACGTTCGCTTTCACTCGTCGCTTGGCATCCATCTGACCTCGCTCAACCGCGTAAGTGCTGTCGCTGCTTTAATGCTGCTGCTTTCTAAAGCCTGCATGACCACGCTTGGGAATGCGCTGCAGCGGGTTGGCACGACTCCACGGCACGGCAGAACTATTCCGCTCACTTGCCTGCAGCCCCCTCCAAGCCCGGTGCAGATCCTTAATCTTTACAGAGGCCATGAAGGACAGCACGCCTGAAAAGAACAAGCACGGCTTGGTGTGCTCATCTGCACCGGTGCACGGTCCCCGAAACCCTCTGCCTGAGTTGGGAACGATGGTCTGGCGGTTGGGTTTGTGACCTTTCTGTCACCAGATGTTGGCAGGACGTGTGTTCAACAGTGTTCAACAGGCATATAGGGCTCTGACAGGCTGAACCCAGCTTGGCCACAAGCTTGCTCTCCGCTATTCCAGCAGAGACCTGACAGCCCCAGGCGCTGGCACCGACACGCTGGGAGCCATCGAAAGAACTCTTGAGGCGCACACCGTGAAGCCTTCGAAAGAGAGTGCGGACACAAAGGGACATCCCAAGCACCCTTCCTCGGCTAATGTTATTGCCCTGTCCGGTGCATGTGCATGCCTGTCTCTTTGAAGATGTCGTCCCGAAGCCGTTGGACCAAATAGGCAGCCGCCAGGAGATGAGAATCCTGAGAGTTTAGTGGACAGAGCGCTTGCCCGGAAGATGGAAGCTGCTGGGACGGCTAAGCGCTCGGCAGCTGCAAGGTCCAGGCAGATTCCAGCGGGGCAGGCCTCGCGCAAGTCTGTCAAAAGCTGCCTAGGGCCTAGACGCCTAGACCCCGAGACGCTTCACGAAAGGGGCTCTGGCTGCTGTGGCGGCAATGGCTGCCAAATCTGGGCCAGACCCTCCCAGTAGCAACTGGGCAGCCTGCAGAAGAAGGGCAGATGTTCAGGTGCTACTTAGGGCGCCACGCCCCTACTGTAGGGGTCTCGGCTCGAAGGCCTCTTCGGTGAAGTCCAGATAGGCCTCATCGATGGATGCCATCTCGCACCTTCGCTTCCACAGGATTTTCGTTGCATCTCTTTCACAAGCCTGCAGAAAGCAACTGCAAGTGCCTGGTTTTTGCTAGTGATACTTCGTCGTCAGTGTTCAGGCAAGGATTACGGCTGCGAACAGTGTTGCACCCGCCTTGCTGAAGACCTTTGGACCACCGCCAGGACTTCGTCTGAGGCCTGGCCTTAGTGACCGGCGAGTCGTCGGCTGACAGTCTGTGACGTCTTCTGACGCTCCCAAGGCATCGGGCGGTATCGGCGAAGACAGGCCTTTTGTGTTCGTCGATCTGGCCTAATACCCAATAAAGCTGCAATGACCTGCGATCTTTCTGCTTTGCTTCTGAGTTGAGCACGCGCTGCCTGTTGCAGTCGCCACATCCTGTTGCAAGACTGTGGCTGCCAATCCGGATCCCATTTCCGTCCGTGAAAGTACTGACCTCGACGCCCTCGCTGAGTGTCTCGACGTGCACGAGCACGATACCCGGGCAAATGGTTGAAGCTTCCGATGCTCGCATCCCACGCCTCAGGGCTTCCGATTTGAATCTGTGTCTCAAGAACCCGGCAGGCTGCTTGGAGTCCGGCTTGACACCATGTGCACGAGCAGCATAGTTGACTGCTATGAGACCGTCCCACCTTCAGCTCGGAGCATAGTTCACCGTATGTGGCATTGCGTCCACATCCGCACTTGCAGTGCTGGAGTATGCGGACTTGACTTGTGTTTGTCGCGCGATTTGTGCTCCCGGCCCCGTGTATCTGCAACTAGATTAAGATTCTCCGTTGATGGGCTTGCACATGAAGCCGAAGTCTAATCGGGATGCTCTTGCAACACGGAAATCAAAAAATACCCGAAGGCAAAATTGAGCTCGCTGCTGCTGCACCGCGGCTGGGGGGGAATCCCTGCACAAAGGGTATCCAATGCATTTCGTCTCTTCGTCTCTGGGCTCAAGTCATGTCTCCTCGCGGTCCAAGGCGGTCTGCCCAGGTTCAGGCGTCGCTGCTCCACCTGGCACAGCTACGGTTTTACCAGTCCTGCACGCGTCAAATGCGAAGAAGAAGTATCGCACGGTTTCCGAGGCGTCCAGCCCGAGCCTGCACATAGAAGCAGTCGAGATCCAAGTGCGCGATGGCCCGCTGAAGCCTGCTCTAATCATCCAAAAAAGCAACAGTCCCATCCACGTGACAAAGTCCCAAACTGGCTGCGAGACCTCGGCGGCATCCACCTCTTTGGAGAAGTGTGGCCTTGTAGAGATCCCAGCCATCGGCATCCACGTCGATATCGGAGGGTCAGGGCATTAGGAGCTACTGACTGCTGAAGCAGGGGTCATGCCTCTGCGGCTGCAAACAGATTCTTTCCTCTTCCGTTTCGTGCTTTTGGGCTCAGCTGCTTCGGCCAGCGGATGCACTAGGCTTGCCCAGTGGTGGGTACCGGGACCGGATCAGGGGGTCTTTGACCACGTGATCGTGTCATGTTCCCGACTTGCACTTCATTGCAGTCTGCAGCCATCGAGCCAGACGCAAGCTTTGTCATCTGAAACTCGCTCAACTGTAGAACTATGCACTCGAACTGAACATGATGCAGACCATGCACTGTGGAATCAGGGGTCTGCTACATTATCTCTGTCTGCAGCGGCATGCACTGGGCATGCACTCTGCCCTGGCATCCTCCAAATAAACCAGCTCCGCCGAGATGATCACGTCGTAATGCACCTCCCGGGCTCAATATATTGTCCATGAATGCGGGACATTTGGCGGCCCTCCCTTTCTCACTGGCGACAGAGAATCACGACTTGTGTGCTTCTTGCACAGTCACACTTTGGGTCTCATGGACTCTCTCGGCTGAGTCGGCACTGTGCCTGGTGCATTTGTGCGGCCAGGCATGCTCAAAGAGCAAACTCTGGATACAGACTCAGTGCTTGAATCGTTAACATCCACGTCGAACTTCTGTCATCAAAGAGGAAGCTCTACATGGAGCAGCTTGCCCAGGATGTACAGCACGAAGGTACTCACCTGAGTCTAGCCTTCGTTTATCTGCAGGTTCTGAAGGACATGCTGTGAATGCCGAGTCGCCAAGGAGACGATGCTGTATCCCAAGTCGGCTGTTGGGATCAAGCAGGCAACGGTCACCTCTCCAAAGCCGATTCGAGTGAGGGGTGGGGCAGCTCCCACATAAAAGCAGACATGCTGCGGGCTCGGTTTCTGCAAGCAGGGCCAGTCTTTCCATAGCCAGGCTCATCACCTTGCAATGACCAAACCTATGTTACAATGCCATCTCATGTCGCTTATCCCCTAGGCAAAGAAATGCTGCTTGCAGGCCCAGGCCTGATCTCCCACTTCGGATTCCCCAGTCACCTGAGGGGGTGTTTGTACGCGACGGGCCGGAGCAGGGGCTCCACTGGTCTCAAGCTCTGCAGCCGTGTTGCGGAGTTGCGCCACCGAGCCCGGCAGAAGTTGCTGGAGAGCTTGCCGAAGTTTTCGTTGGCCTTGGCAAAGAAGTCGCAGCTCCCTGAAATCTGAAAACTGAGCGCTTGCAGCCAAAGTCGCAAGGCGGCCTTGCCACGACGACAGCGGAACAGTCGCACAAGAGTTTGCAGATTGCATCGCATTTCAAAAACTTGGTCGGGCACCGTAAAGAATCATTTGGTGTATCGCAACCTCAAGATATTTCGGTAGCAAACCCAGTTCTCTGGGAGACTCGGCTGGGATACTCACATCCATATCTACTTTTGACAAGTCACTGTAACACCACTGATGATCACAAGGCACACACATGTCCCAGCATTTAGCTGCGAATGCGCGCCCAAAATCACTCCAATGAGGACAAGGCCAAGACCTGACTCACGATCTTCAACATGTCCGAAACGCTTCAAACATCTGTGGTCAAGGCAGCAGCGATGCGCTTGATAGCCCAAGGAGCCCATTGTCGAAGCTGTAGCCAATGCTCCAATGTAGGAGTCTGCTCGGTGTTGGTATCGACTTCCCATTCGAAGAACGGTCTGCAGAAGCATGCAGCAGTCAAAATCCAGCTCTCGCAACGTGCTGTATTCTTCCGGCATGTCGATGGACTGAGCTGTGAAAGAAAGCTTCTGATCTTCTAATCGTAATCGGCACTCGCCATTGACAGGCAGACACACGGTAAGGGGGCCTCGAAGCAGGCAAGCACCGCCCGCACGTTCGCTTCCGCTGTCGGGCCCGAAAGCTGCACCTGTGCGGGACTTTTCATCTTCTGTAAGCGTCAAGTTTCGTATGCAAGTTTGCAGCGACTGCACTGTACAATGCCAAACGTGTCAGCTGATGTATCGGTTGAGGAGTGGTATACAGAACCGCTTACTCGTCAGTTTGTCCATGAGCATTTGACGCGAAGAACCCCAGGGCAGCGGAACACGCCTGAGGCAAGTTGGGATACAGGCAGGGAAGGCGCCGAGCCAGTTGTTGCACCGAATCCATCACCATCTGCATGCGCCGATAGTGAATAATTGCAATGACCTCCGTCTACAGTGTGCAAAGGACCCCTTCGCCACAGGATGTTGCAAGCCCCCGGCTGCAAAAACAGACGACACGGCGCCGTGCGAGTAGGCAATAAAAGCGGCTTGTGCAACGCAGTAGGAAACCTCAGCTACATTGCAACGTCACCGCTGCTGGCCCTAACTCACTTGGAAGTTGGACCAGTTGAGGGGCGACGTAGCTATGCCTTCCAAAGCCCGCTGCAAGAATATCTCCAGCATTGACTTCGTCACCTAGCTCACCTCAGCTGGCTGTGCCACGGCTGCCAAGCAGGCCACTCCACAAGTCTGCGTAGTTGGATTTTGCTTCATGAAATCTGCTAAGGGGCTGGTGCACTTCACACAGCGCCAAGCAATCGGGAAAATGGCTGGAAAGAGCGCAAACAAACCTGGCCGCTCTGAGAGCTCGAGAAAGCTCGCATTGCAACTGCATTGCTATTGCCGGCTCGCCCCCTTTTCTGGCCTACAGAAATGAATTTCTGGCTCTCCGCGACTTCGTCAGCAGTGCGACGGTACAAGGTGTACAGGAGCTGATGAGCACCTTGTCACGGTAACGTGTGTCATGTCTCACACGTCTTCCTTCAAGCGTAAGCAACACAGCTCTGATCTCCGCCCAAGGACTGATCCGTCGAAGGCCCCGGGAGAAGCTCACGCTGGTCTCTCTTGAGAGGACCTTCGGACCACAGGGCAAAGACACAAACAGTCAGGAGGCCCAGGCTTTATGTTTTTTTGCCGAGAGGCACGTGTGAGATTGGGGCACAAGGATGAGCTTTTAAGCTCTGAGTTGGTGCAGTGGCCTTCCAGCATCCTTGGAGACAGCCGCATAGAACAGGAATGCGGCTTTGCAGAATCATGTGGATCAATCCCCTACCCCAGTTGGCCATCTTCTCGCAGGGGTACCCTCCCTGGATTGAGCGTACTCCAACAAGTGGATACGACGGGAAAGCAATGCATCGGTTAAGCGGTTGATAGTCTGATTAGCTTAGTGTTACGTACCCCGAAAAACTGGCAATCCTGCTCGGCAAGGACTTCCCCCCCTAAGTGCCATGAAGCGTCTGCTCCCAGACCTGCCAACATCTCCAACTACTCACATCCTGCCTCTGCTGTCGCTGGAGTGGATTGGCAGCTCGCAAACTACACAGCTGAACCATTGCCGACGCATGAAAGCAAATGCTGATTATCGTTTGCAACGGGGCTGCACATCGTGCTCGAAGAAAATCTCATGCAGATCAGCACCTGCACGAGGTGTGCTTTTGGAGTTAAATGAGTCAACATCGGTCCAAAGGAGCAAGAAAATCAAGAAGATGGACGCAAATTGCAACGAGCAGTGGAAGGGAGTCGTCAAATATAGTAGATCTTTGTCTGCTGCTGTGCACTTAAGGTATCCGATCCTAACATGCGCAGGAAATTGCTTCCACTGGCGCCTTGATACTTGCAAGCCTTGTCAATCTCTGCCACTAGGATTTCATCTGGCACTGGTAGCCACGTGGAGATGAGCTGCATTTGCTTGCTCCATCTCAGCAGGCGCTGTTCTGCCGTGCTACGACTGAAGCACTGCATTCGCCAACAGAGGCTCAGCAGCAGTGCTGTCACTGACAATGTAATCCTTGCTGAACTCGAAACCCTTTTTTGAGCCACGTCGCTTGGCGGCAATTTGTCTGGGAGCACCCAGCCAGAGTGAGTACTCCTCCGGGGAGAGACCGCTGTATTTCCTTTGTTGTGACTCTGCGCATGCGAGCTACCAGAAAGATCGGGGATCCGACTGTGGCTGTCAGAGCTAGCATCCTTTGGTCGATACTTTGCTGTACACTGCAGCAGAGGTGCAACGCGATCATGGATCGATGTGTGAACATAGCCAAGCACGGCACAATCACGATCTCAGCAATGCCAATGTCATTCCGCTCGAACTCCTCGTAGAAGAGTGCCTCGGATTCGACAAAAGATGAACGCCTGCCATCAGCTGGGACCGGAAGCTGACCTGCTGCCTGGTCGCAAAGAGCATCGCGTTGGCGTAGACGATTAGTGGAACTATTGTCCAGTAGAGCGTCACGAGATTTGGACAAGGCCACGTCTGCGTGTTGGAAAGTAATGCCCTCTTGCCCAGCAACAAATAGAACGGAATGCCTCGACACCGAGCGGAGTGGAGGCGTGCAAACAGCTGCCGATGGAGGCTACCGGACAACATCAGCACTGACAAACTGAATTCAAGCTCCCCCGCCCTGTAAAAGTGTGAAACTAGTCACCAAAGCGTGAGATGAACATTTTGAGTCTTTTGTCGAGAGACAGAATGGTGACAGCAAGTGAAGCAGCAACTGCTCTCGGAACACGGGAATGTTGAAGCATTCCGCAGTGGTCTGGTTCATTAGAACATCTGGCAGGCCGTCTTTGTCTTCGTCCACTCGGAAGGTCGACTCGTCGCTCATGTCGCCTCAGCTTCAGGTCCGGCAGAGATAGCAAAGCCGTACAGCCAAATACGCTTTCACTCTGCAGGATCTGCAGGCATGTTGCTGGAGTGATCACCATCGTGATCGCAGAATGGGGTGTACCTTTGAAGCCACTCGCGCTAAGCCCTCACACATATCAAAGGCAAAGGCTGGCAGCTAGAAACAGGCCACTGTCGCTACAGCGTCCCCGTCTCGTTTTATGAAATTCCTTGAATAAATGCACGCATGAGCTTATGACCAAGGGCCTGTGGTCAGATTTCCATACCAGGCTCGATCACCATTGGCCAACATGACACAACACAGGCCCAGCTGCGCAGCGGTCTGTACTTGCCGGTTTGACATCTTCTCCTGCAAATCGTAGGGATACGAGGATGGCCCACCTGGTGTGTTGAGGACATCCATGGCTTCCGCTTACATCTCCGGTTGACTGGTTGACGAGGCCTGACTTGATTAGAGGCCTCCTCGAATCGCAGCTCCTATAGGTAGGTGCCTTAGTCATGATTGATCATGATTCCGATGTGGGAGGCATACCTGCGTACGCTTAAAAGCACTAAGATGTTTGTATCACACCTTCTTGCTTTGCCCAAACAGCATGCCGTGCCATGGCTGGAGGCCAAAGAGCCGCGGGGACCGCCAGCTGTTTCAATCAAGGACCATGGCAGGGTCTAAGGTTCCGAAAGTTCAGCCAGGTCAGCCGCAAACAGCGAATCTTTCCAAAGCATGCTCCTGGCCTCTTCGTTATGAAATTCTGAGGCTGCAAACCCCTCCTGCCCATCAGGATTCAGCATCTGGGCTGTTTCATGTCTCACCTAACTCAACCCACATGCCCCAGCCTGTCCCCAATCCTCAGATCGGGATGATCTGTCACACAGACGCTACACGGCCAAGTAGAGGGAATGACTGCCATTCGTGCAGTTGGGGCACCAGGGACACAACGCGGATACTGCCACCTGCTTCTGCATGGTGGCCCTGTCGCCTAGCATCAGTTGGACACGACGATCCTTGTTGCAGACAGCGAATCTCTGAAAAAACTCGTTTCGCCTGTCGAGCTCCTTTAGCGACTCCTGCCGAGAGGATGCTTCAATTCTCCATGGATTCGATCTTGGCATCCATGATAATGTAAAACGGGTGCGGTAATCACTAGTAATATCCTATCCCAGCGTCAAAGAGATGCAGGCAGCGGCCTCCAGCACTGGAATAATCTTGGCTTGATCTGTGCAGGTCACCTGCGCTCCAAGCCTGCGCAAAAGCGATTGATGTCTGTCCGCCGCGGAGGTTGTGCATCGCCCACTGTTTCTAGATCGTCTGCTCTCACCGCAGCTGTCAGCCCAACTCGCATACTCCACACAGGCTTGAAGTCAAGTTTATAGACTGATGATGTTGACAGCTTAATTCGTCCTCATCCTCCTCTACAGTCTCAGCTTCTTGACGGTTTGTCTACCGAACATTTGCCAGTGTCTCTGCGCTGTGAGCTGTGTCAATTCTAGCGAAGCCGTCTCAGTCTCATGTCATAGCTTGTCTTCGTTCAACTCCCAAAGCTTCATGTCTGGCCTGAAATTGCAGCTGTTCGTGTTTGGCTACTCTTGAGGACACTGCTCCAAGGCACAAATAAAGCTTCTTTCCTCGCTCCGTAGACTGGGAGCGTACGGGAAGAGCCGGTGTGAGCTGCCGATGAACCACAGAAGTTGAGCCGACATGCACCTACTTGTACCTGTCAAGCATTGGTGATAGTCAGGAGCACCAAGCACGCGCAACTCCGGCACCAGCAGTGAAAACAATAACCTGCATTGCATTTTGTTGCATTAATTAAATCGAATTGTGCAGGGTTGATCACTTCAGCTGGCAATCGAATCTCGACCATCTCAACTTGCTCGCGATGGTCGCTGACCTAAGTTTGGACTCACGATTGCGCATACGGCCTCCCACTCAATACAGCTTTCCTACTTCGTAACACATACATTTGTACTGAATCTTGGGGTGGCCTGTCAGCACGTGCATCAGCTCCGTCATGGCTGCACACTATCTTCGCAAGCATCTGCGGAGGCCTCCGGATGTTCACACGTCGGTCGAGTTCTGCGCAGTTGTGTCAAGCAGTCGCCTGGTTGACTTCTGGGCTGCGAGGTGAGCCAACCAGGGTGGCGCGCAGATCTCCGACAGCCTCCAGACAACTGCGATGCTGCATCTGACACCATGTGAGTCTCCTAATGCGAAGCCCCAATCCCTTCAAGCATCTTCGCGCCTTCTCAGGGGTCGCTGGCATCCCGCCAGTGCTCGGCCTTTCAAAGCAGTCCCGTTGCAGTGCACCCTGTGCATGCTGGGCAGGGGCCTGAAGACGCAGAGCTGCGAGCGTTGTTCCTCCCACTCCGTGTCGCGCCTCTGTCACGATTGAGTGCGTTCGAGACTAGGCAGGACTGTTGCCGATTCAATCGTGCAACTATGAACCGTGGTCATTTCTGAACAACAATGTTCTGCTTTCTGTGGCAAGAAACCGATATCTGACGCAGGTTAACAGCTGTCTGCCATTAATCGAGGCGCCCTAGCTTGGCAAAGGCAATGCACGGCAATGCGCAGCAATGTGCATCCAAGCATACATTACTGCATATCATGGCATTGCGCTGCTGGGGATGGGGGAGTGAAATTCGACTTTACGTTCATTTAAGTTCTGTGCCCGTGCCTGGCGAGTGCGACCGCACGTGCGCGCTGAGCTCTCTCCTGGGGCAAAGATCCCAAAGCGGTTGCAGCGGGCCGCAAACAGGGGGAGCGTGAAGGACTGCCGTTTAAGCTGAGCTTGTCCTCCGGCGACTCCGCAGCTGCAATCCAGGCATCAGCTTCGACTCCCTCTGGAATTGACATGACCTGCACTGGAGCTCCTAAATCAGCTTGAACAGCTGGCATGCCTGGCCTGCTGTTCGGGCTTTCGGACAGGCCCTGGAACTGGCGTCTCTCGTGCAGAGTCCTTGACCGGAAAGGGATTCGCCTCGGATAGAGCTCAGGTGTCTTTGATTCTTCGCGGAGCATAGCTCTTCACTCTTTTCCGGTCTGCAGATGAGACTCCAGAAGCAAGGCGGCGAAGCGATGCTCGAGATGGCGCTCAATGGCTGCCTGGAGGGGACAAGAAAGCTGGCAGCAATCCGTTGCCCTATCGGCAGCTCGGCAGGAGGTCTCGCAGAACCAGAGCACCTGCTCTCGCGGGTTGGGATGCTTCTTCAGGTACACGCGCGAGTCGGCTCCTAGCTGGCATCAACATGAGATTGATGACATGAATCGGACAACATCGCGGCGAAGGAAATTACAGTGAAGGTAGGGTACGTTACGGCGAATATGCTGCTGTGTGCTGCTTACGTTCGCAGTTGGACTGGTTGCTTCCGTCTGCAAAGCAGCCGGAAAAACAAAGCCGACAGCTTCCAGTCTCATACTTGTTACACGCAAGTCCTGCTGCCGTGCTCATGGAGTCGCGCTGCTCAGTGCCTTCAAGGCATAGCTTGGATTGCAGCGCCGACAAAGAGAAACGACCGGGGTGCTTGCCATGCCAGGAAGTGCTTCGAACTCTCGCTCCGCGAAATGAAGTGTGAAGCTCTGGCGCCTTGGCTTACGCAGAGGCAGAGACACGGAGCCCGTTGAGCGCGCTCGGGGCGTAGCAATGGGTGTTGTCAGGATGCGCTCGGTGCAACGCTCGGCAATGTTGCCACCGAGCAGGGCCTGAGGTTGAGAGCAGCAAAGCAGCAAGCCTCCAAATGCCTCTAGACTCCAGGTCACCTCTTCGTCTCAAGACCCACCCCGCTGCTCTCGCACGAAGCCTCCTTGTACTTGCGGCGATTGCGGCGCAACTGCTTCCTGAGCTGAGAGAAAAAGGATTCATCGGCTCCCTTGGGCCCAAGCCCAAGGGCCCAGGCGGCCTTGCCTGCCTTGCCTTAGGCCGGAGCCTCAAGGCGCGCCTCTCCTCGGCTGCCTTCAAGCATTCCCTGTCCTGTCGCTGCGGCTGCGAGCAGCTGTGCGAGCTGCGACTCCCGAAAAGCAAGGCTGAAAGCTCGGTCTTCGGTGCTCAGTTGATCTTTGGAGAGGCTCCGAGGACGCGAGAGATGTGAGAGCCTCGTCGAGGCGGCGTCAGACTTTTTTTGATTCTGTAGTTGTGTGCTGATACACATTTCGTGGCTGCTTTTCGCCTGGAGTCACGGCTGTAGTCCGAGCCAGTATGGGAACTGCCGGAAGCGGATCTCGCAGGAGAAGCGGCCTTTCAACTACAGAGATCGAGACATCTGCAAGGCCACGTCTGCTTCAACATCTCTGATTTCATGCAGCATTCAACTGCTGACTTCAGCGCTGGCAACAAGCTCACTGCACCCCAAGACGAGGCTCTGGCCACACGCGGCGTGCCCGATCCAAAGGCGATCTTTCGCAGTGGCGAATCCAGGCGAGCCAACCTCGAACAGGCACAGCACCGAGATGATTCTCATCCCTGTCGAGCATCACGGGGTGCCGACGCCATGCGGTTCAAGTACTGATCCACAGCTTCCTGGCAAAATACGCTGAGCAGTTTTGGAGCTCGGGACCTCGGGTGCATGCGGCCAAAAAGCGCCTGCTCTTTGACTGGCATGCCACGTCCGGGAGTCATGGAACGTGAGAGCGAGTGCCTGTCCCGCACGTTGCAAAGCCGTTCTTTTGTCAAAGATGGTCGAGCCTGGTAGGAGTGTTCTGCGGCGTCCACTCTCGCGAGGACGAACAGCTGCGGGAGCGGGACCTGCCCACATCGCCATGCTGATTGATTGGAACGAGCGCAGTCCTGAGAGCTACTCATCATGAACCAACGGTGCGGCATCGCATACGACATAGCGGGCTGGATCGACAAAAACTCCAACTGAAAAGGCGAAGGCGCTGAAGGGGTGGCTGGGAGCAAATGCCTGGAACGATCTTCAGTTCGGAGGTGTGGTCCTCGAGGCACCTTGTGATTAAAAGGCATGCTTCTTACATTTCACCTAGCACATCGTTCCATGTGGTCAGGCGATGGGCAACTTTGGTTTGTCTGCCTCAGCCCACTTCTTTGACATCCAATCGGCTGCATGCGCTCCAGCCGTTCTGTGGCCAGAATCCTCTTCTGGCATCACCGGATGGTCGCAAAAGACTCCGCACATCATGCACATCTTTGAGGAACTTGGACAATTGAGGAAAATTTTCATCGAATTGCAGAATTGCATGCAGAAAGCGATCATGGACAGAACCCTCTAATTGAACCCACTCGTTCATGAATCGGACCACAGTAAACAGAAAGAATATGAATCTTACCACTATCAAATTACAAAGACGCCTTGTGCTGTTGTTGGACCACTAGAAAGCCCAGCTTCCAGGGAACCCCGAAACCGTCCACGCCTGTTCCTATATAATTGAATGAACTGGCTTCCAAGGCCCAAAGCCAAACCCCTGGAAAGATGTAAACTGTCCCGAATGCCAGACAACGACTGTTTCGAGTATGGCGCTCAAGCCATACCCGTGCAGACAAACATATTATCTTCCCCGGCCTTCTAACCGCGCCCCCCTTAAGTTGAAAAATGTTGTCGACTTTGCCAGCAAACTGCACAAAGCTCGCTTTCTGGAAGCGCGACGCAGGCGTGCAGCATTGTGCAGCGCTGATCATTGGGCGTCGCGACAGCTCTCCGAGCTGTGCCACTCAGCATAAGGTGCCGGAGTGGATGTGTTGGTTAAAGATTTCCGAAATGTTCACGGAGCTTCGCATTGATAAAAGCACTGTGCTCCACGGGTGGGAGCTCGAAAAGGAACATAACTTCCAATTCATTGGGTGCTCTCTCAGGCACCCAAAAGCCGGTCCTTGGGAGAGATGGCGGGAGTAAGCGGAAGCTTCAGCAGCTTGGTCTGCGAAGGGCTTTGGCCCAAAAACCTGAGCCGCAAGCGGATGGAAAGATTGGGAAAACGATACTACGTTGCCGGCCACAGCAGACCGAGCAACTGCACACGGCCACTTGCCAAGTCGTAGATGCCACCATGAACTTCCAAATCGCCACTCTTTACCTGGCGAGCTCATGCCCGACTGCGACATGACTGTGGTCGATGCGACCCGCCATGGCCGGCCTTCTGACGAATCGGCTCACTGTGCCTGAGCGGCGGGGTTGCTAGCTTCGGATGCCACGGTCGGATGAAACATTCTAGCCAGCTTGCTGCAGCATGAAGTTCATGGTAGTGAAGACATTCAGCTTCACAGCATGCTGAGCGATCTCATCTTCTGTGGCCTGAGACTGAGACAAAACCCGACCGACCGATGCAGCACCAAGAGCGCCTGGTTCAAACAGGCGCTCCCAGCCTCCTTTCCCAGTTCCATGGCTGCAGACTCCACCACGGAGCCGAGACCCCTCAGCATGGCGTCCAAGGCATGGCCGTCCTTTGCGTCAGCAGACTACATGTCAGCTTCGGTCCAAAAGAAGGTCAAAAGCCAAGTCATCAGTCCTTCGCTGCATTGGCCTTTTGCGATTGGAGGAAGGCCCTCGTGGCACCCTTGATAGCGCCACAGTTCGTGTGCCCAAGCACGAAGATTAAGCGAGTGTTCAGCGGGCCGGTGCAGAATTCCAGGCTGCCGAGTACACTCCCCTCCGCATGCGTGCAGGTGTTGCCCGCATTGCGCAGCACGAAGAGGTCTCCAGGAAGAGCATCGAAGATGGTCTCCAGCGGCACACGCGAATCAGAAGAGCTGACCACCGCAGCGTGGGGTGCCTGCCCAACACTGGCCAAAGCCTCGCGCATGCTCTTGTGCAGTTTGCCTGCGACCGGGGCACCTACTGCGAAGCGCTCGTTGCCATCCCTTAGCATGGCCAGGGCATCTTGTGGCAGCACAATGGCGCTTTTGGAGGTGCGCACGGTGCCGCTGGTGATTGAAGGTGGCACGCACCACTTGGAGGACAGCAACTCTTTCTGCTGAGGAGAGCGGCCGAGGAACTCCACCCGGCCTGTCTCCAAATGATAGATGCCACCTTGGATATCCAGATCGCCCTTGCGCACGAGTTCGCGTATTGGCTCGGAGAACTTTATGAGGAAGTTCATGGAGTTGAAGACATTCACCTTCACGGCGTGGGCCACAACATTGGCCTCCTGAGCGCTTGGACCTAAGTCCTCGCTCGCCCGCTTGGCGACACCTGCAAGGCCGTGCAACAAGCCCTCCAAAGCACTGCCTGGTGCCCGTTCCGTGGCGCCGGAGCGGTAGGTCCTAGTAGCCCCAGCCACGGCACCGCAATGCGTGTGTCCTAGCACCAGAATCAATTGAGTTCCCAACTTGCCGGTGCAGAACTCCAAGCTGCCGACAATGCTGCCCTCAGCATGTGTACAAGTGTTGCCCGCATTGCGGAGCACGAAAAGATCTCCAGGCATTGCATCGAAAAGGGTGTCGATGGGAACCCGCGAATCGGCAGAGCCCACGATGGCACTGTGAGGTGCTTGGCCACATTTCGCCAGTGCCCGACGCATGCTAGAGGAGGTGACGCTTGCTACAGGTGCGCCAGCGGCAAAGCGCTCATTGCCTTCCTTGAGCAGCTTCAGTGCTGCACTGGACTTGATGATGCCATCGGCACCAGTGCGGACACCGTGCATGCCACGGTCCACCTCCTGGTTTGCCATGGAAGGCGGGACAGGCAGCGTGGACTCGAGCAGCTCTGCCTGCTGTGGGCTCTCACCCAAGAATTCCACGCTGCCAGTCTCCAGATGATAGATGCCGGCTTCGATCTGGATCTGGCCGCTGCGCACACCTTCACGAATCGAGTCGCTGAACTTCAGCAGAAAGTTCACGGTGTGGAACACATTCACCCTTACAGCATGGGCTGCGATAGCATCTTCTTCGGCATCAGCACCCATTTCTTCTTGGGCCTGATGGGCTACTGCACCAAGGTCTTGCAGAAGCCCTTGGAGTGCAGAGCCAGCCTTCTTGGGTGCAGCCTGGGCATTCAGAAATGTCTTCGTCGCCCCGTAGACGGCTCCACACTTTGTGTGGCCCAGCACCAGCACCAGTCGGGTGCCCAAGTTGCCAGTGCAGTACTCCAAGCTGCCAACGATGCTGCCCTCGGCATGTGTGCACGTGTTGCCTGCGTTGCGGAGCACGAAGATGTCGCCTGGAAGAACTACTGCTGGAACTACCGAGGGGCCTACCAGCGCCTAGCTCCCGGCCCGGAGCATCTGGGGGGATCTCCCAGGCAGACCGTGCCTGGTATCGTGTCAAAGATGGTCTCCAGGGGAACCCGCGAGTCGGCGCAGCCGATGATCCTGCTGTGATGACACATCGAAGTGATCTTACCTTCAGTAGCCCTATTAGGGCTTGCAGCGATGACGCCAGCAAGGGGTGACATCGTCCAGGGGTGATGTCTTCTGGGGCCCTGGGATAGGGGTGATATCACCTTGACACGATGACATGTGATGCTAAGGTATTCTCCAAAACCCAAGCCGATGTAATAAACTCGCAGGAACAAGCTGTGGCTAGCACAGTATCGCATTCCGAAACGTAGCCTGAACTAGCGAATCACAGAAAAAAGAGTAGAGTGCTCCACTGCCTTATGTCCAAGTGTCGCTGTATGCGGAGCCTGGCCCAGCTCCACCAGCTCTTGGAGCATGGCAGGACTTGCGCGGCTGGCCAATGTCCGTCCCTCCACGAAGCGGCGATTCCCATCCTGTCTCACGAGATCTCGGAACTCTCCGGACACTCTTTATACTCGGAGTCGCGACGCGCCTTCAGAAGGCGCAAGGATTCCTTGGGCTCCATGGGAGGGTCTGCCGCCGTGCGAACCGGCCGTACCTGTGGCCGGCTGCACAGGGTCAGTGCCTCCGACAGCTGAGTGAAGAAGGACATGTCGATAGCCTCGAATCAAGAGATGATGATAGCACTTAGAGGCTTCAACTCAGCAGAGCGCAGAGCTGCAAATTGCCAGCTGAGTAGCTTCAAGCAGCAGCGCAGCGTGGCTGGCTAGTTCGAGAATCGCTGGCTCGAGACTAAATAATTCTGCGTTCAGAGATTGTACATCGTCACGAGCTGGAGAAACATCAAGAAACCGATCCGAGGAGACGATACCTAGCTCAGATGTCAACACAACCGGCCCCAATGTGCTCGAAGGCTTTGGGGGCATCCCCAGGCCTGACACCTAAACGTAAACTGCAAGTTCAGAACAGATCCCTTCCAGAGATTTCTGGAAATGCCCCACCCGCGAACATCCGCTGGACCAGGTTACTCACCGCGAAAGAGGAGCCAAAGAACCCGCCGTGGGATTCGCAAGCGTGCAGCAAAAGAATAATTCCCGCAAGAAACCCACAGTGCAAGCCCTGTAAACAAATACATACCAGACACCCTCCAACAGCCACATCCCTTGCAGAACAGCCGCAACATTGGACAGCTGCAAGAAATGAATTGAGCATGCACTCCAAGACCCCTGCCGTTGGGTGAAACTGCTTGCCCCATGTCTGCCTGGTTTGCTGGGAGACGACATTCTCTCCGGCTGGCACTCGACGGCAGCTGGGCCCTCGACGAGCCCTGCGTCTCCTGCCGCAGTGATCCCATCCAATCATGGCGCGAGTAGCGCTCGCCTTTGATGCAATTTCACTTCGCCTCTTGCGAGACTCTCCCTGGACCTCTGACAAGCGCTGAGATCGGCGCGGCCGCGCTCCTGTCGCATTGCATCAAGAACGTGGGGAGGAATAGTAAAATAATAGAAGTATAGTCAGCATTACTTTTCAGAACATTCGGATGTGTCCGCAACCCACGTCTGCACACAGCTCCGTTTTGACACATCCGAAGTAGGGGGTAGAAGGACATATGCAAAGTGCGGCATTTCTGAACGTCTTGTGGTTTTGGATTTGGGCTCTTTGGCTAGCTCCGTGCACCACGTAGGCGGCTTCGCACACTGGCGCACGGGACTCGGGCACGCAAGCGTAGGATCCGAGCACCATGGATTACTGCACGAGCAGTGCGGTTTCGGACCGCAAGACCCCGAACCCTGATAATAACCCTACAACTACAATCTCGAAAGCCCTTTTGGGCCATTGATTGATACCCCCAAACCCTAAACATCCCTAAACATTTAGACGGGCCCAAACCCTCAAGCTTACAAACCCTAGAACTTAAAACCGTAAACCCTATAAAGCAGCACGGACAACCCTAGAACCCAAAGGCCTTTGAACTTTACAACCAGACTCGGCTCTCCTCGCCTGCTGATACACCGCCCGAAATCCCTAAACCTGGAGCCGTAAAAACCAAAAGCCCGAAACCCTAAAACCCTGATTCCTTGGCTATCCCTGCCTAATGATATCACCAAAAACCCGAAACTCCAGCATCTCAAACTCGACACCATTAAATGGAGGGCTTGCATCGCGGGTGCTTGAATCGCAAGGCGCTAGCCAGCTCGACTTGCGGTTATGTCTTGGGCTGAGGCTTCCACGCTTGTGGTTCAGCTGTGACTTTGTGTCTTGAGGGGCAGTTCACCTTTTCCTCGGAGTTATTGCTGCTTTTGTCAGAGTGTTTTTCTGGGTCTGTGTCTTGGTTTAGGGTTCAACGATGTTAAGTAAACAACTCGAATCAGTCAAGGCGACATTCGCGAACTCAGACCAATTAAGTGAACATAACCTCACAAGGAAGACTTGAGATTCATCAACTTTGAACATATCGCCTTCCATCGGGCTTCTCAGGATTTTGGGTGCAGGGCTTTCGGTGGCAATTGAGGCCAGATGAAGAATCGAGGGTACGGCTATGCTGATCATGGCACGAGCTGGCTGAGTTATGACCGCCGTCCTGGCAATAGTCGTTGTCACGCGCGGCTTGGTCCAATTGGTCCAAGATGAAACTGTTCTACCGAGCGAACTTTTCACCGCCTCCACGTCGTCGGCAACGGACATCTCAGTGGTATTTTCCGTGATTACTGTTCGGTAGTGCAAAGCCGTTTTGGAATAGTATTCGGGTTGCGCCTGTGCCCCATCTTCCGAGAAAGCAGAAGCTAAAAATACCCTTCGCAGCATCCGTCGTGGGCCTCGGATGCGGCCACATTCGGGAGCTGTGCTGCAGCCCGGTTGGAGGCCGCCCAAGCCTTCCAAGGGAAACGAAGCTGACATGAAAGTTCAAGGTTCCATTGCCGCGACCTGTCTCCATGGTCAGGCCTGCAGAGACGGTTCAAGCTTGCGGCATCGAGCTGGTGAGGGTGCCTCGGTGGATGAAAATCTGATCACAAAGTGAAACGCATCCAGCATGAAGTCCCCTCCATCAAAGCCCCATGCGGTGAGGACAGACTGCATCACCTCTGGCACGTCCATCTTTGAACGTTCCTGCACATACGGTCACATACGTCGCTGGCAGGCAGGCCCATCTGGCACTGTGCCTCGGAATCGTCTTTGTGCTCGCGCAGCACCGTCTCCGGACTTAGACGACAGATCAGCACTGGTAGCGCCCTAGTGGTGCAGGCTTGAGAAGCCGGTTAGCGCAGCACGGGCCACGCTTCCTGCTTTTCCTAAGTCTAAGGGCGAGGCCTTGGAGGGGATGGCTTGGCCATGTTTGGGATCAGAGGGATCTTGGCACCGGCTGGGAATGGCTGCGGTGTTTAGCCTTTTGCAGAGTTCCCCCCCAACAAGAAGATGGAGTTCGTCAGATCGCCGCTTAACGAAGCGCACAACTCTTCAACACTACCGCCGTTCCAAACATGCACACGCCTGGCCAGGCCATGCCCCAGGTGCCCGAGGCCGCTTCCAAGTTCCAGAACTCGCCTGGGCGGCTGATGGACCTTCTGAGCTCTGCACCTCCACTCCATTCACCCTTCTTTCTGCCTCGCGATCCCTCGCTCACATAAATAAACGCCTCTCGTCTTTTGGGTGAGCGGCTTGCCACGCAGTTGCTTCGCCCTCTCAGGCGCCTGAATGTATGGGTCAGAAAGCGGATGTCTGCACACTGCACTCTGACACATAGCCTGCCTGGAGGTAGTGCAATAGCACAAGCGAGGCATGCCAGATAAAATTGCCATCCGGCAGCTCCTTCCATCAGTGCAGCATGCAGCTCGTGTTGTTTCGGGAAAGCAAACAGCTCAGAAGTGCAGTCTTCAAGCCGGCTCTCTCTGAGAAGATCTGTTTTGATATCAATTTTGTTGACACGTTCGGCTTGCACTCATCCGTCGAGCCGGCATGTCTCGCCGGCACTTGAGTACAGGGCAACGGTGGGCAACGAAAGCCGGATGTCGGAGTACGATTCTTTAGGCCAGCGCCTGGTGCGCATGTGTCGCAAGTCAACGCCGCACAATGCAACTCGTTTGCGGGTCGGCATCCCGGCATGGGCTTCGTTCGGGCTTAGGACTGGTAATGCGCTTCAGGATTTGGGGAGATGAGCTGGAACTGAAGGCTTCAGGTGAATGGCTTCACATTCCTTTGTCTTGGTCACTGATTGCAATGCGATAAAACTCTGACCATACTGTCTATGCGCGAACACCCAAGGAAAATCGGTATTTGAAGCGCCCGGTTGCGCCGTTTCTAATCTAATTCCACCGGCATTGAGCAAACCTCTCTAAGTGCTGTGGACAGATCTTGTGGAAATTCATATCGACAGTCCTGGAAGTCGCACTTGAAGTGTGGCGCAGGCTGCTCAACCTTGCGGTTGCGGAGGACTGGCTTGAGTATCGTAGACCTAGTAGGCTCTGGCAGGTAGGTTCAGCATAGAAACGGAGTAAGCGCAGCAAGTCACGTCTCGAGACCCCCTGAAACCTATCTGGGCCTCCTCGTCCATAGCTCGGCCGATTCGGTGCTACATGCAAGCTTTCACGCATGTTGTCTGTCAAACTTCTGCGAGTGCTTGCTGGCGACAGCCCGTACTGTATAGAGTGGCATCTGACTACCTTAACTTCTTCGCATGGAGTTACGCTGTCGCTGACACGACCAATTAAACAAATCGCTATCTGCACCAGTGGCTGGGAGCTGTCTTCAAAGCAGTGAAAACTTCTGCAAAACGGGTCTCGGCGGCTCCGCAGAAACTCTAGTTACCACAGGACCTTTGTCATGCTTTGATGTCGATGCCAAAACAAGGTTCGCGCACTCTCTCCGCTCCTATGGAGTTGGACTGGGCTACAGCGGATTTTCCTCCTGCGCGAGCAAACGTGGAACCGCAGAGACAACAGGCCCTTTGCGGAAGAGGCTTAGACTTCAGGCATTTTGGAGATTCCCCACGTTTGTGTAGTTTGAGTTTGATGGCAAGTAGGCTTTCATGCGCCGAGGAGAAGAGACGTCTCAGCGTCCACTCAGCCTGGCATTCACCAGGTTAGGAGGTGTTAGCACAACTCATGGCATGCTTCTCAGACTAACTCTGCGCCTGCTGGGGCAGCAGGACGGCGTGCGCGTCGCTTTGGGCGCTTCTTTGGCTGGATCTGCCTCACGTTCTTGCACAGTCCGTCAGTCTTCTCTTCGGGCAGGGCAGGCCACATCGGCTGGAGGGACAAAGGTGCGAAACACTTGGTACGAGTGCCCAGAACCTCACGTTGCGGCCTGTGGCTTTGTCTGTTGGAGTGCGGCTGTGTTTGCAGAGCCACTGCGAATCTTCAACGGGCGCTCGTTGCAACGGGAGTTTAAATGGCTTCGAAAGATTGGCCGTCTCTGCAACTAAGCCACTAAGCACGACATACTGAACCGCTTTGGCAGGAAGCTTTGCACGACTTGGTCAGGGAGGGCAACCGAAATCAAGAAGCTGCAACGGCCTCCTGCGCCACTCGTTCCAATCCTGCTGGGTTCATTGCGGAAGCTGCTTGTGCACAGTTCTTTGGTTTTTCTGTAATACGAACTGCATAGCACAGTCAGGTTTATCTTGAACCCTTGCCACGACTGTGACTACTGAGAGAAGAAGAAGAGAAGGAGAGTAGAGGAGGAGGAGTAGGAGCAGGAGGACGAATGATTCCTCGTACTCTCAGTACTACCGCTGCTAGTGTGACGGCGATATTGGGACCAAAGATCTGGACGACAAGGATGCTGATGATGACGACGATGATGATGTAGCTCGCTGATGCTCATAGCGATGACTGGCATCAACGTGCAGGCTGCCTCCTTCGGGCGACACCGTGATCGAAGTATGCGTTATAATCTCCCTGAGCGACGAGCTCTGGGTGTACCATGGTGAACCTCCATCGGACCACTCGGACCCAAATTTCTGAGCACTCCTTCCTTTGCGAGTTATCCACAAAGGTGCACCCCTGTCTTACGCAGACGTTGTGCGTGCCCGTTCATCTGCATCCAGGCATGACTGTGCCGTAGGCTGGAGCCCATGATCCAGTCAGAAAGATGTCTGTTGCCATCCTATCTGCTTTTGCAGTTCATGACGCTGTGCCTGATATGATATGTTCCTTTGGTTTGTTAACTTTGCGATACCTGGCGATACCTGCGCAAACATGTCCAGTCGCTCGGGCTCCAGATGGCCATGTTTCGAAAGTTTTCCAGAGCTGTCCTCCTGCTTTTTGTCACCCTCGGCCGCCAACTTGGCTTCCCGCTCCTGGTTGCCGCCGCCACACGACATGTCAACCGCCGATCAGCTGCACGGTCTCTAATACCCCAATCATGTCGACTACTCCCTTCTGCAAGCCAGTGATACGGTCGGCAGGACTGTGGGCTCAAGTCTCGCAAGTCTGCTCGTCCTTGGCTTTCTCTTCAGCTTCCATCTCTTTGGGGCTCTTTGCACCAACGTTCCTCGGACACCCACTCCCACACAAGGATTTACAGCCCGTTCGAAGGTGCCAGACAGAGCTCCCACAAGTAAGGTCTCCGTTCTGAGAGCTGTGCCGGAAGACTCCTTCCGTCCGTGCTCCCAAGTCAATGGCCCACGCCTGCAAGCAAAAGCCATGGCTGTAGCTCCCGGGAAAATCCACGACACGTCGGACATCCAAATTCAACCCTCGAAGCCACTCTGCGAAAGCATCGATCTGCAGTGATTCAGTTGCCTCCAAGCCGAAGCGTTCCACGTCCAGCTCAGGCTTGATGCCTGCCAGTGACAGGTGTCAATGGCATTCACAGCCAACTGTGCTTGAATCTGCCCGTGCCATTCACAAGCGAGTTGCTGCATTACACCTACTGTCGTCTGCTGCTGCCAGTCGAGATTAATTTTAAATGAATTCAGTCTGTCTTCGAAGACCAGTCTTTAAAAAACTCGTCAACTGACTTCTTGTAGGGCTTGCAATCATCGCAATGACCGCGATGTGCCGCACGCCCCCAGGACAAAAAGGCAGCGCAGGTATGCAGCGATGGCAGTTGTGACATGAACCGGGCAGGAGCCTACGATACGCTGGCCGAAGGGTGCTTGCCCAAGGCGTCTGGCCTCGACTGATCCAACAGATGCTTTTGCCTCTGGGCTGTAAGATGACTTGCGACAGCCGTGCCTGCTTGAGTGCCTCTTGCTTAACCCCAGCAATGCTGCCCTGCCGTCGTCTGTTGCTCCAGGTACAAGACTTGTAGCGCAGACATGGCCAGCCCGACAAGAGGCCAAAAATTGCGGGGCTTGACACAAGTGGGAAGATCTGGACTGCATTGCATGTTAATGGATGCTCCAGCCTGGACACCATGGAGATACCCAGCTTTGACGCAAGCATATGTGCTGTAGGTGTTGTCCGTCAGGTAGATGTCCAAGGCCCCATGAAGCCCGAGTGCCTTCCAAGAGATTGCATCAGAACACTGGCACATGGCTCGATGTGGCCGCGCTGCGCCTGCGGGATGTTGGACGAGAGCACCATACCAGGTACAGCTCCACGACCTGCGAGAGCCGCCGAGATCTCCAACAGGTCCGGTCAGGACTGAAGAAGTCTCCCCTGAGAGCCCGGCTCAGATTTCCAAAGCATGCCGAAGCCTCTCGCGACGACACGCAGTGATCTGGCAAATCTGAAACGCAACGGGGACAGGGTGGAGCCTTGCTATCTGCGAAGCGGACAGGGTTGTTGAGAGAGTAGGCCACACCACCGCCAACTAGTGAACCTTGGCCCAGTAACACAGAGGTGTTCAGGTTCGTACCGTGCGACGAGGGCTAAGATCATGCCTCCCCGATTCCTGATGCGCTTCGCTCGCTTCAGTAGGGACTCGGCCGTGCAAAGCACAGATGCCCGGAAGGGCCATCCTCAAGGTTGCCAAGGCCCAGGTCACGCGCCCTTGCCGGCATGGAGGAGGCCCGTCATTATCTGAGTCCGACACTCTCGGCATCTGATGAAAGGCAAATAACCCGCATACCTGAGTTGAATGTGTTTCTAGCAAGTCCCTGCGGAGTGCACACTTGCTAGTGCTCGCCAACCGATGTCGTAGTACACCATACAGCATGCCGGCATATGCCGGCATGCATAATCGCAGAACCACAACAGCCACAACACAAGCAACATTCCAGAATGAGGTCTGCCAGCTGGGGGTCATAATTGGTGCATCGCAACCGAAGCATGGCGACTGTCGGAGATAATTGGCTCTTGTTGTCAAAACCCAACATCTTTTGTTCCACACATCATTGGGCCCTCGCTTTGTCTACATCCGAGCCTGGAATCTGGACACCCTCGGCAAGCAGCCTTGACGCTCCCGCCGGGACGGAACCAGATGGCTTCCAGCAGTGCGGTCATGACTTCCCATGCTGGTGGCTTAAGACACTCTTTCGGCCAGGCGGCTGGTTGACTGTCAACGGAATGTGCCCCGGGTAGAGCTTCGGATTGGGATTGCCGCCTGAGCAGAATGCGGCAGTGGCAGCTGCGACTCTGGACCGCACGACATCACCAGTGTGCGGCCTGGACAGAAGTGCGGACCAGAGCCCTGGATGACGTAGGCGAGAGGCCGACCATTCAGAGCCCTGCAGCGCTAGTCGTCACAGAAGCATCGGGAGCGCGTGCTTGTGCTTGCCGAGGGTGCAACTTTGGATTCTTCATCAGCTGATTGACCTTGTGATCTGGATGAAAGAGCATCTGACAACAAGCTGCGCACGCTGCTGCGAAGCACCATGCTCGGTGTCGCACGGCATCCATGCCAAAGACGATGTCTTGAGAGGTATCCGGGTCCATCCTGGCAAAAACTCAAGCAAGCTTGAACGGGCTGGGCTCCAGCTGCAGCTTCGTTGAATTAAGGGTTCAAGGGCGTCTGATCATACCAAGGCCGACTTGAGGAGTTCACCAGCATCTAGATGGCCCAAGCTGTGCTAAGCTTCGCTTGGTTTCAGTCAACAGGCAGGCAGGGCATGTTGAAGGTGGCCACAGCATTGAGCTCCTGAGGCCAAATGGAAAGGAATTACGGAGAAGTCTGCTGATATCTGCTGATCGAGGCATCGCTCCAGCAGCAGGACGGGAGGCGCAGTCTTCGTGACCAGCACCCGGTGGCGAGAGTCCTCTGGACAGTCGGGACCTCAGTCTGTGCGCTGGGATGCCTGTTACTGTCTGCCCACAGGGGGCGCGACCATACATGACGGTATTCAGGGGCTTCGTGGCGACGCCCATCATCAGGGCTTGCCCAGGCCCCATCGAGCTCACCTTATTGTACCTGAGAGACCACCATGCTGGCAAACAAGCTGTCACCCTGGGTTGCATGTTGCAAAGCCTGCTCGGCAGAAGAATTTGGCCCAGGAGAGCCTCAGGTAGCATAGGGCACAAGTCGGTGTCACTGGCATGCTCCCTGCTTGACTGAGTGCTCCGCCCTCTGGCGATCCTTTCCCTCGGTGTCTTGCCATGTCCTTGGTCTCGGCAGTTCATGAAACAGCCCCTTCTGCCAGTACGTTCCGAGAACCGGTCTCCAGCTGCTCAGCCATCGGAGCCTGCGACTTGGAGTGCAGCGCAGTATCCGCGGTGAGCTCAGAACTGCAGAATTTACAGCGTGCAGGACTTGAATCTTCTTCAGGCCAGGCACCATGCTCCTGCTGGCAGAGCCAGTGGGACCTCTCACGTCCCCTTCCACGTGAGAAACAAATGGCACCGGCAGGAACCATGCATAGTGCAACTCGCCACAACCTTCAACTAACACAATGTAATATGAACAGCAGCTTCAGAAGGTCTCAGAGACGCATCAGCATTGCATATAGTCGTGCGGACAGCTTTTGAGATTTCGTCGATAAGCCGAAACAGGTGCCATTTAGCACCGATGAGTGAAACGCTCGCGCAGAGTAGCAGCGGCCATAAACGCATAAAAGGCCGGTCAGCTGGATGATGTGGCGGCAAAGCGGTCGATCCGCTTTTGGTGACGGTTGTACGATGACTGCAGCACCTATGCGGGCGTTGAAGGCAGCGTTTCAAAAGCCAGGTGCCCATAGAAACTGCTTCAGCTACTTTCCTGATCCAGCACCACTGCTGGCCGTCTTGGCATCATCCCATCATGCCGTAGTGACAGATCAGTCAAGTAAAGCACAAACAACTTGTTTGGAAATCTTCGGACCTTTTTTGCATACTAAGGCGTGAACCGGTGTCCATTGGTCCCAGAGGTAGTGTCGGTGCAGAGGGCCTGACCGACTTGGATTTAGCGACGATGACAAAGGAACGAACGGGTTTCTACATTGTACGGGCCGTACCTTGGCAGCTCCAGCTCAACTTGTGCTGGAGGAAGTCGTCTACCTGCAAAAGCCGCGAGAACCCAGAAGAAGTCAGGAGCAAGGGCAAGAGAAGAGCAAAGACCCCAAGTCCCGCCTGCCATTGCCCTTTTCGTGGCTCTACTTCTGGCATGCCTTCCTGCGACCTTCCCGCAGTGTTTCACTTCAGCGGGGCTCGGTCTGCTGCGCCGTTGACCGAGGCTTCAGCAGCCAGGGCGGCGATTGCACAGTGGGCAAGGGCTCCCTGTCAAGGGAAGCCTCAGGGACAGCCAGAGCAGCTGAAAGGCAGTTCTGCACAGCTCGGTTGTGCCAGCATTGCCAAGTGCATGGCACGAGTCTTCTGTGAGGCGAGCGATGGCACCTGCGCAAGCAACTGACGGGTCTGCCACAGCAAGGGTCTAAGGGTCGATTGTATTTGGCACCAGTGTCAGCCTGCGAGAATACTTCGACCATGTCGCGATCTCCGGCCACTGCTTGCCTGGCCTTGCAAGAGCATACACAAGGAGCAACGGGTGGATGTCGATAGAAAGGGCACTCATTCAATCCGGTTATGAGCGAAGCACGGACCTTCTTCCTGCTGCCGGAAAAAAGGTTGCCACTGAGGCGCTAAGGGCCGGGCACGTGCTAAGGTCCGCAGCGACGGCCCCTAAGACAGACTTTGGGAGGCAAGAAGTTATGCTAGTCCCACCCCCCAGCCAAACCTGAGCTGGTTGGTGGTTGAAGAGGAGCTTTGGCGGATCGAAAGCCTGCAAAGCACGGATCTTCAGCCCAGCCGGGTGGCGATGGCCAGGCCACGGCCTCCAAGCCCTTCACCAAGTAGGTGCCACCTGGCTGCACCTGACTCCAACGCGGGGACTCGCAAGCAAACTCCAAGGTTTGAATCGGCCGGCAGCGCTTCATCCAGCGACATCACCGGCTTCAGCGTGACGTCATACAGCGCTCGTGCTGGAGCAACAACCTCCAGCAGCTCCAGCAGTCACATGCTGTCACACGGAAGCATGAGGAGGCCCTGACAGGCTTCGTGGCCTCGCACAAGGAAGCGTGTGCCCCAGCATTGCGGCAAATGAAACTACACCCACGAATGGTGGCTCATGGCAGCACAGTCTCGCTCTCTGTGCCTCGCCGGCCAGCTGTAGAAGCTCCTTCCGCGCCACTCCCAGGAACAACCAACACACAGTTCGGTCACTTCCGCTCTCTTCCGCTCCTTCAGGCCGCCTGCAGGAGGCCAGCGCTTCACGAAAAGGGTCTGGCCAAAGGGGAGTCAAAAACCAAAGGCACTTCGTCGCCGGTCCGACATCCATGTCCATGCCATGGCCTCTCCCGTGTGCAAACGGTCAGCGTTCCGGAAGAGGAGCAGTGCCATGGTTGATGGCATCTGACAGCGGATGGGCCGACCCAAGTCAAGAATGCTCAGACTCAACATGCACAAAAGGGTTGGTTGCGACAGAGTTCAAGGCCCGCTCGAAACTTGTTTCAGATTGCTGTTGTGACATTTGCCCTGCCTGCGGCATCCGGCCTTACAGGGTAAGCCAGCTCAATGCATTCAAGACTGACAGCCCTGAATGCGTCAGGGTACCACTGCGGCCAGCATCCTTTCTCTTCATCAGTTCGCCTGAGAGGTGCAGCTCTTGCTGCTAGCTCGTCCCAAGAAGACTGAGGGCAGGCTAGACGACAGACTTTTTTGCGAGCAGCCTTTGAGCAGCTGCGATGCCATCTCGAATGGCTCGCTCGACAGCTCTTGCGGACACGCCGCATTAACGCATCAATGTGGAACAGCAGTCAAGATTTAAGGGCACACAGCCCGCAGCAAGCACTCCCTTCCGGTTACGACAGTGTGCTCGAACATGCCTGACTAAACCAAAGGCTTCATTTTAAGGTGTTTCACGTAAGCTGCATGGCACTCCACATCTCATTGTTGAAGACCATTGGCCCCCTTTCAAACTAAAACTGCTCCCTTCATGAGCCGCCGCTGGATCGATGAAACAGACCCTGGTGTCCTCTTCAAAGCCAAGCAGCGCGGAAGCACACATGTGTTCTCTAATGTGCATACACACACCATCACGCCTACATTGTCGGGGCCTCGATTGCAAACGAACCTGAGAGCATCGGAGACGGAGCGGTGCGGTGGCGAAGGAGCCGAGAACATTATCGCCGCAGCTTTCTTAGCTGCCACTGCACTATTTCAGAGAAAGAAATTGCGAACAGCAGTAAGTCGGCGCAACACCCAAACCGAGAAGGATTGCCAAGAAGGGCCAAGGCACAACATATTCTTCCCGTATTGGATCGAATGAGACGTTTCCCTGCAGGAAATACACTTGTGCCGTGAATTCATTTCGGGACTGCTCGATCTTCCAGAAGCGAAGGATATGTGCCGACGTAGTAGATGCCGCTGGAATGTCCGCAGCAAAGCTATTCTCCACGCGGTCAATGCTGGGATCATCGAAAGGATGCTTTCGAGTTTCTCTTGGCCGAACGTGCCAAACTGTAAACTCGCCTCTCCAATGGAGCTCGCTTGAACTGCTTCTTCCGGGCTGAGACGATCGCGGGTCCGAATTGCTTCGGATTTCCGAACACTCGTCACCGTAGTGCTTCTTTAAGCAGAATGGGCAAGAAGACAGCGCGCAGCCTTCACAAAGTTTGTGCCTGCAGGCGAGAGCGTACGTTCGTCTCGCCTTTCCGCAGCCGGAGCATGTGAGAATAGGAATCCTCAGCCATACTCCATGTGTTATTGCGACATGCGCCCAGGCAAAAGTGCCTAACAATCACCTACCATGCTCTGAGGCCTGGGCGTCTGCCCTTTGGCGACTGTGCTTGTGCAGGCAAACCGCTCAAGTGTGCGGCAGTCCCTCAAGTACGTTGCCACATTGGCAACGGCCGTGTTCGGCAAGGTTCTTGCCGAAGTTCTTGCCGAACCGGGCGTTGCGCGGATGAGCTGGCCTGGACAAGCCATCGCTGGACTCATGGTTAAACGATTACATACTGTGACTACCGCAAGACGTATTAACTACTACTTGCAACGAATTCAATTTGCCATGTGAGCTCCAGAACATCTGGGACCATGCAGCTTTGTCACCGGTCTCGTTGAGCTCGAAGCGCGCGATGCCATCCTAGATTCCAGCTATGAGTCGTCTTCCACATTCTTCAACAATTGTTGTCAACTGGACTGCACTGCTACCAACATCAAGGAACTGATCAAGCACTGCCCAAGACAAGGTCCTTGTTGATGCTTCGGGCAACTACATGCTGGAGCAATTCCGGATAGCGTCCCATGGCCATCTTCACTTCATCCACCGATGCCCATCCACCTTCTCCCTTTGCAACGGGCGAGTCGTACCGGAGCAGGCTTGCCATCTTCACCCCGGCTCGCTTCAGTCTGTCCTCATCTAGAGGATCTGGGAAGGTTAGAGGCACCACCGCGTCCGTGTGAAGCCAGCCCTGGCATTCCTTGTGGCTGCCAAATAGCCAACCTCTCTCGTGTTCATCATCATCAGGTCCCACGTAGCTTACCTTACTCTGCATGGCCTAGTGCGAACATCCTGTGTGAGAGTGGGTGGTCTTATCTTGCAGGCCAGGTGCTGTTGCGAGCTCGTCGACCTGTGACTTGCGGGCATCCGCGGAAGTGGCCACTACGCAGCATAAAACGTTTTTTGTAGCAGTTCTGGTTGGCCCAGGCCTCCAGGCAAAGATAACCGCAGCACTCGCGGTTGCGAGGGACCTTAGCACAGAATATGTCAGGACATGCTTCGCTGAGAACACCCGCATCAAGCAAGCGAGCATATTCAAGTCCAGCTCAGGGTCTAGGCCCAATTTTGGTTGCAGTGTCGTGGGAGCCAGTCCTTGGCTTACTGGAGCAACGGGAATAGTACCCATTTGTGGAGTCAGCGCCAGTGGCGCTAGATGCTCAGGCCACAACATGTGTCTGCCGGATTGCCTGTAGCGTTGAGTGCAGCCACAACGTTCCAAATCATGTCGTGGTGATCCATCGTGTTCCAACCGGCCTTTACGATGTGTCCAATCTGGACAGTGCAGGCCATTGCCACGGAGCAAGTAGGAAACTGCTGGAAACTGGGATCTCTGGCGTGACAAGAAACATGCTCTCCGTTGTTCCTTAACCACTGGCCCTGTTGTTCCCTAACCGCTTGCCTCATTGCCTGACCTCGCGAAACTAGCGCTTTAACTGACCAGATGAATGGGTATCGTGCCATGCAGCATCGTCCTGAATTGTAACACAACTCTCACATGCATCTCTCGACCACAACGTACCTGAAGATGACATCGAGCCATAAGCAGCAAATGTTGGGCTTGCATTCGAGAAAAAGCCGTCCATGAGAGGGCTCTTGTCGGGTGTTTGAGGAAGCAGTAGCTACAGCAAAGATCTGCTGAAAGCCAAGGTGACATGGTCGTCGCCAGCAGTAGCAGCAGCAGCTAGCATTGCTGGTAGTAGCAGTACTAGTAGTAGTAGTAGTAGTAGTAGTAGTAGTAGTAGTAGTAGTAGTAGTAGTAGTAGTAGTAGTAGTAGTAGTATTAGTAGTAGTAGTAGTAGTAGTAGTAGTAGTAGGAGTAGGAGTAGGAGTAGGAGTAGGAGTATGAGTAGTAGTAGTAGTAGTAGTAGTAGTAGTAGTAGTAGTAGTAGTAGTAGTAGTAGTAGTAGTAGTAGTAGTAGTAGTAGTAGTAGTAATTAGTAGTAGTAGTAGTAGTAGTAGTAGTAGTAGCTGTAGTAGTAGTAGTAGTAGTAGTAGTAGTAGTAGTAGTAGTAGTAGCTGTAGTAGCTGTAGCAGTAGTAGTAGTAGTAGTAGTAGCAGCAGCAGCAGGAGTAGTAGTAGTAGTAGTAGTAGTAGTAGTAGTAGTAGTAGTAGTGGCAGTGGCAGTCGTCGTAGTCGGACCAAAAGGAGCAGCAGCAACAGCAATAGCAGCAAGCAGTAGCAGCAAGCAGTAGCAGGAGCAGGAGCAGGAGCGGTAATGGTAGCAGTAGCAGTAGTGCAGCCACTTCTGCTTCTACTGCTACCCGCACGTGTATATGTAAGAGAGAGGGAGAGCGAGCAGAGCAGAGCAGAGGAGAGCAAAGAGCGCGAGAGAGCGAGCGAGGGACCGAGGGGAACGAATGATGCTGCAGCGCAAGTATCTTCTGATCTTCTCAGGCAAAGACCGTCATCTTCCGGCAGGTCGCAGTCTCCAAGCTCCTGAACAGCGCAAACGAATTTGCAGTCCAACACCAGGAATTGGAAGCCGGGATGGAGGAAGAACGGCGGTACGAGCTAGTTGCAAGAGTAACCACACATGCCCACATCTACTGATGCAGATACAATACTAGACAAGACCACGTACAATACATTAGTGTGACATCTTGATTGGCAACGAGAGTGCTTGTTGACTTGACTCTTTGAGCTGCAGGTCCTGCAGCTCCAGTGTCTGCGAGTTCTGCGAAATGAGCTTGCCCGCTGACATGCCCATTCGACTGCTACACGCAGAGATGCTTTGCCTCCCGCACTGCAGCTTCAAACACAAACCCTTCATCTCTGAGAATCGGCTCGTTGCAAACCGGCAGTTGGCCTGTCCGGCAAGTCTCCTGCTTCGCTCCTTCAGAAACTTCAACTCGATCCGGTCACCCGCATGCCAGGATGAAGCATGAGGAAGCAACAGGGTGAACTGAACTAGCCGTCGTGAGGGTGGACAAACGAGGCAGAGATGCGCTTCGGAATGCCAATGGATGTTCCAGCTGCCTGATACACCAACTGTGCGGCAGGCTCCTCGCAGCTGATGGCGAGCCAGCCTCATCCCAGCCCTGCAGGAAGATCCAACTCTGGACTAGCAAGGTTCATGTTTTTGGCTCGTTACTATAGCTAGTAGACGCACACCATACCAAGAGCTCTACAGTTACAGAAAGCTTTTCCCACCTGGCCGTCGCCTCGCGAACCAAGGGGCTCTCCGACGTCGTCTACGGCTTGCGAGTCGTCCCTGCCGCGACAGCTCAGCACGGCACCGCGCTGGGGATGCGGTCTGAAGCCAGAGGCCGGTGCCCACCGAAGAATTGACCGAACATGCCACCCCTGCGCGCGGTGTGGAACGTGGAGACAGGCAAAAACGCGAGACAGAGAGAGAGACAGAGAGAGAGAGAGAGAGAGAGAGAGAGAGCGAGAGAGAGACAGAGAGAATGAGAGAATGGGGGGCCGAGTCGATCCGTTCAGACAAGCGGCGGTTTGTGGGCGAGTGCCGCCATGACCCGCTTCTTCTTGTGGTCCTGAAACCAGAATCGGAACTGAAGCCTCTGCAGCTTCCAACCGAATGCAACGTCCTTCGGCGCCAGCTGCTTTTGCAGGTCCTGCTAATTGGTGAACGAGTCAGAACGGCTTGGATTGAAGGTTTAGATCTCTCGAGCGTGTACGTGGTGATGGCAGTGAAGTGAGGGCGTGTACGGCCCGATCGCAAGCAGCCAATTTGGCACTCCATCAGCATCCCAACTGTACACATGCAGGGAAATCAGCCTGAATGATGTGCCTCCACGTTTTTGGCAGGTGATGTCGCTATGTATGCGCGACATCAATATTTACAAGGAATCAGCGACATGCCCTTCAGCCTGGAATGCTGATTCAGCGTTGATTCTGATTTAGGTGGCTACTTCCTCTTCGTGTTGAATGGGCCGCAGGCCACGCGCGCTTTCAACAGCGAACTATGTAACATGCGGGATGGGCAGGGCAATGAGTGCCCTCGGCCCTGGCCTCAGCTGAAAAACGTCGCCGAAGCCTCCCCTGCCAGCGTCACGGGCTCGCGGCATAAAGGACAGCGCACGTGGCGTTCAGAGGACGCTGTGACCGCTGCCATGGCCTTGCAGACATTGCGGGTCGTTGCAACCAATCCCGAACCACTTTCTGCACAGGGTCGATGAGGACGAAGCAGTCAAATTCAGGCAGGTTGCGCACTCCAAATGTAGCGGGTGCCCGCAACGAAGTGCCAGGATTGGCGGCTGGAGGGCTCGCAAGGCTCTGCATGCGGCCTGTCAGTCAGATCCCACAGCCCACAAACCAATTCAATGAACGGATGCGGGGGCAGAATACAGTAATAAGCATTCTGCAAGTTCGCAGAGCGATGTGTCGATCGGCAAACGGCGAACCGTGCAGAATGCTGGGCCTCGGTAGTGTCGCTCTTCGTCACGATATCAGCAGCTTCTGCAGGGAAGGTCTCCAAGCACACGCTGCAAACATCCCCCTGCCAGGTCAATCAATTGAAGATCTACTGCTACTCCCTGTGCTGTTGCGCCTGCTTGAGGAAGATGCACAGCGGAATCGCAGAAAGAATGTTTCGTAAGGCCTGGCGGGTCCAAACATGTTGATGACATCAAAATTTTCCGTGAACTTGATGCCTTCTGTCTGACTCTGGCATCTGAAGATGGTCTTGGATGGCCTCTTCCTCGCTAATCTCTGGAAGCTGCGGTGCGCGTCGGGCGGCGCCACATTCAGCGGCGCCAGGGCTCGGAGCCTGCCTTCGCGATGGGCGACGACGCTCGGCGTGCTGAGCATAGACTTGCGAGGCCGTCAAAGATTCGCAAAGACTCCTCGGCTGCACTCCACTCTGAGGTCCGATGTCCGGTCCGAGCCTCCGGCGTCCCGTCCAGCCTAAACTGGCAGCCTAGAGTCGCGTTCTCGTAGGCCCAAGGAGCAAGGTAAGACAGAACCAGCATGGCAGTGAGAGTTGGAGAACCCAGGTGATTTCCCAGCAGCAACATAGCGTAGGGCACAACAAGAGCCTTCGAGGCGGCCCTCACACAAACCACGATCTCGCACCAGGCCCGTTGTCGGTAGAGTGCTCGGCCTTGCTCAGTCCTGGGCTGCCAGGCAATTCCTGGCCCAAGCTCGCCCAGTTTGGAACAATACCGAAGTACCAAAGAAGTTCGTTGGAAGTGCTGCAGTTTTCGAACACAAAAAATCTGTGTAGACAGAATGTCGCATGCGGACGAGGTGTCCGCAGCTCGCCATCCCACTCTGGCCATTCTGAGAGCACGCTGACGAACCATCCACAGCCTGCAAGGCAGCAGCGCTTTTGCAGTACCTGCGTCGACCTCTGTACGTGGATGTGTGATGCCCCTAAACTTGTTGACCCCGCTGACCAACTGCAGCTTGGGGCACGAGGGCAACGATTGGAGATTGCTGCCCCGCCAGGTATGGAGACTTCGCCATGATGCGCGGACAAGTCTGAACAACCTGATGGACGAAAGCACCAGGGCGGCCAGGGCGCTCACACAACACTGGAGCCTCGGTGGTCCACAGGACCGAAGCCACATCGGCCGCACTGTCGAGGATCCTCCATCGCGGCGGCAACCTCGTTGAGCTCCTCCGGCGACAACCAAGTGATTGCAGCACATGCCAGCTGTCAGCGCCCAGCGTCCTCCAAGCTCAGCACTTGGCCTGTACTCGGACCTGACAAAGGCTGCAACTACTGCTTCCGTCACTTCTTACATTTCGATACCACGTGGTCTGCCCGGCAAACTGCAGCCGGGTCACTGCGTATCACGCGCAACACCGAGAGAATGCCATCAATGATGGCGAAGGATGTCGCCTGATCCCACACGAAGCATGTCCAGAGCTGGCGCCGCAAAGAGCACTCGGACTCGCACCTGCACGACGCCGATAAGTGCAAGGGCAAAGGTGGAGTCGGTGGCTCCTTTCGTGGCGCATGCGTCCCACAAAGAGAGGCGGAGACGGAGAGACGGAGCCGCTGCTCCGCTCTGTCCGCTCCTTCGGCCACGATTGCCAGGCTGCGGAGGAGCTTTGACGCCCAGGGGGAGCTCTGTGCCAACACCTCAACGGCTCTGACAGACTTCGCCATGGTGCACGTTTCCCGCCGACCGTCTTTGGTTGGTTGACCACAACTGCGACTGCTCATCACGGTGTTAGCCACCTTCGCTGAGATGTTACCAAGCAACGCTGCCAACCAGGAGCAAATCAAAACTGAATTCGAGTGCAGCTTCGCTTGCGAATGCTGCAGCATGTGTCGAGATGGGGCTCTGTCTGGGCACCGGGCATACAAGATTGTGCCGGAAGTCGATGTTGATCCTCGGAATGGTGAAACAGTGAACCACAGATAGGCTGCTCACTAGCCAAGCGACTGTCTAGGATAAACCTACATTGATGTTGCCGGCAGAAGCAGCTTGCCTCGTGGCGGTTACATGCTAGGGCTTTTGTCTCAGAGTATAGATGCAGGTGCAGCTGCTGATGAGGACCACGTTGAAGCAGATCACGGCCGGTATGGAAACAATTGGACATTTGACTGCAAACTGCAGGAGGTGCCCGATACAGTCCATGAAAACAACCTGGCTCCGTCGGGTCCATAGGCGAGTTTAGCCGGGGATACAGGACCAGTTACAAAAAGGGTGATGTGTGTGTGTGTGTGCAGCTCCGAAGGGTGGCAATGAGTTGTACACATTGCAGCAGATGACGTGCCGCTCAGTGGCCAAGACCGGTCGCAATAGTCGGTTCATGAAAAGACGCCATAGGACGCGAACTGCTCGAACCGGCACTGCGACAAGGCCTGCTGGATACATCAACCTCAGATACATGGCGGACTTATCGGCAAAGGCATCAGAGGCCTCGGACTCACAGGTGGTCCCGAAATTACTGCTAGGTGAAAAATTTCCCACTCCAAGCCGTCATCGCGGGTCTTGACTCTTGGGTCAAGCGGGCTCAACACAGCAATTCCTGGGCAGATCCTTGAGAAGCATTCCGCCAACAGCAGATGAGGCACGCTTTCAGCAGCCAAGGATGCCGAAGAGGATCTGGCTGCTCACGCCTCACAAGAAGCTTCACAGCTCTCTTCACCCCAAACAGACTCACCGAAAAAGCAACGAAAGCCTTGGCCAGATCCTGTAGGCATAGTTCAGGATCAGGCAGCAGCTCGAGAGCGCCGCTGAGCAGCCACAGAAGAATTGCCCCAGCATCCGTGCGGCCTTTTGGGCTTTTCTCGCGGCCTCTCTCAAAAAACTCACCGATCAGTACCATTAAGTCTTAAGTGGCAAGGCACGTCCACCGGCGCGGGGTCGGGGTTCAGGAGAGTCACCAAACTCCGGAAGCCTAGTCAGCTGTCGGGACTCGACCCCTACCAGAGCGTGTGCGGCGATAGAAGACTAACGGGCTACATGAACAGAAGAGTTCTTTTGCTGCGCATTTCTGCACCCAAAGAGCTTGCAAACGCAATACCGCCGGTCGCGACGGGCAGAAAGAGAGGGCTGAGGATCTGCCACGACGGAAACACGATCGCCTCCAAGGCCCCCAGGCACGAGCAGCTGCTACTGGCAGCACGGATTTTTGCCAAGCCAGGGCAATCACAGGCCCTTCCGGCCTCATAGAGCCAAATCAGTGGAGGCAACTGGAGCACCACCTGCCTGAGACAAGCATCACGGAAATGCTTGAGACATCTTGCGACACGGAAAGTGCTCACATGCACCAAGAAGCAAGGAATCCAAGCCAAGTGGCAGGACATGCAGAACTTTGGGGAATAGCCAGGTCACAACAGCATAGACTAAGGAGCCCACTGCACTTGCCACCTTTGGGTGGTATTGTTCTCTTGAACAGTGGCAGCAACAAGGCTTCTCACTCAGTCATAGCTCTGACCTTGGCAGCCTCTCGCAAGATCCTTGCCATCGTCCTCCAGAAGCTTTGAGGGGTCAATCCCTCAGAAAAGAACGCAATTCAGAAGAGTTTGAGTCGCAATCCCGTGCAAGAAAACTCCAAAGCTGAGTGCGGGACGAAAACAACAAGAACGCATGCCATCGCTAACAGACCCACGGCCGGCCCCGATGAGGGATCCGCGATCTGCAGCATACTCTGCAAGAAATCTTGTGGAAGAGCAAAGCAGCAGAGTCAGAGGCCTGCGTCGACACGTGCCGAAGGCATGCTGCTCCTGCCAGCATCGCCAGACGAGCTGGCCCGCACAATTGCCCAATTTCCTTGCAGCATTGCAGCCAGATGCGCTGCATCTACACCTGAACGTGGAAAGGGCTTTTGCCCGACCTTGACTGCGCTGTCGGACAGGATGAAGCTTGCCAGGGGAAGTTGCAGGAAGAGCGTGAAGACGCCTTCAGTTTCCAGGCTAATCGAGAACGCTCTCACTTTCACTTCCTTTGACATTGAAGTGGTCACAAGGTGTGCGCAATACCCTGGTTCCCAGCTGCCTGTAGAGCTGGCTGGGTATGCAACAAAGGAAGGCAAGAGAATCCTCGCAAGCTGCAAAAGCCCATCCTCAGTGCACCATAAGCCGTTTTGCCCTCATTGTCATCCGAAACATGGACACATCTTCCTGAAGTCTCCCGAAAGCGTCAAGCATCCGTCGCATAGACCGCTGCCGCGAATCTGAGCAAATGCAGCCCGGCTTTTCCAAGCAGCGCTCCGCAGCTGACTCCTGCTGTAGCGCTGGGCCCCGGTTGCATCGTAGTGGTCGGAAAGCAGACAAAAATCTCGGCCAAGCCAGAGGAAGAGGCTCAACGGTCGAATTTGGTCTAGTCTAAGGGCACAGTCCTGTAAGAATTGTTGACACTGTGCCCAGCAGGCCGGAAAAGATTCCACCAGAGGTCAGGGCATGAACCGTGGGCCATTCGCCTGCCAAGCTGTCTAGCTGAAACCCTTATGCTGTACCACATGATGCTCGATCATGACGGAAAAGATGCAGCACAAGATTCTCGTGACTTGCCGACTGCCTGGAAGGAGCAAGGAGAGTGGTACCAGCGGCCGTGTCGCAATGCCTGCGCAGTGGCTACCGGTAAGGCAGCGTCACCCATCGAAGCTGCAGTGAAGAGGATGCAAAGACGAAGCGCCTAGTGCATCGGAAACCAGGCCATGCAGTAATTTTGGAACTAAAGCAGCCGTCTGCAGCAATATCGGCATTTGGCCAAGCGCAAATCAGCGTGCATCTGTACCAACTTGGACCAATGCAGCGGCGCTGTCATGCACATTTGGCTAACAGGCCATCAAAGTAAGACCCTGGTCCGTCTCGGAGATTCTGAGGAACATGGCCCAACAGAGCAATGAGTGGCCATGAGCAATGAGCAACATCCTTGAGCTGCAAGGCAACCGACACACCGGTGGTCGGTCTGAGTCTCTCCTGCGTGCGTGACCTGGCGCAGTCATCGAGAGATTTGCGAAACTTGTAGATCTTCCCAGGCTAGTGAAGTCTGGGGCGTCGGGAAGCGGCCTGACAAGGGGATTGTGTCGGATCTTCAGCTCCATCCGATCGCCAAGAAGATCTTCAGCCCAGCGGTTTCGCACCTCGAGGGTGTTTGGATACCCAAACCCACGTTCAACCAGGAACCATGACCCGCCTCAAAGAGCAGTTTCTCGTGCCGGATGTTGTGTCCAAGCGACTGGTCAGAAACACAATTTCAAGACATTTCAAGACCATGTCATGCGTGATTGGAGCGAGCGTCCGCTTCAGGCTTGGCAGCTTGAGATCAGACATCGACTTTCAGAGATTTTCGCGAAATGGCATCTCTCCTCTCTATGCTCCCTCTCAAACTGCACATACTAGCACCGCAGCCTTAGCCCATCTCTCCAAATCCCGATCTGACCTTGGGATGTAGAGGCACCGCGCAGACCCCCAGACTGACCCTCTTAGCAAAAGGCAGGCATGCTCAAACCGCAGTGCCGGTGTTGAGTTGACGCTTCATTCTCGGATTCTGGGAAAGCGGCTGCCAGTAGCGCTTGTAGTTCAGATGATAGAAGACCTTGCAGCATCAACATCTCAGCAGATCGGGCTCATTCCGATAGCCCTTGCGATATCAGCCCACCCCCGATGCCAAAGCAGCCGACCAAGCCGTTCTTTTTTATTTCCTGGATTGGGGCATCGTCATGCTCCTCAGTTTGCACAGCACATTCAAGTCGGGCAAGGTGGCAAGGCTGCTTTCGGACTTGCCTTCCCGAAGTCCTGGAAAACATCTTCCTGTTTTCGTCCACGGGAGCAACTGCACAGCAAATCCCGGGCATATGGTGCCTTCTTCTGTCCCTTCTTCTTGCGTGGCCTCACCTCACACCAAGAGCCAAGAGCATTTGGACGTGCTTTTCCGTCTGAAAGCATTAGGGGGGCCTTGGCGGCCCCATCGCCTGGAGCCTTTGCCAGATCGAAACTCCGAGAGGTTCAAGCTTCACGCGAAAGGGGCACACAGAGCTCCCAGCAACCTCTGGCAAGCCCAGGAGCGCCTTGACGTTTTGCAGAGCTTTGCAGAGCTGCGCTGAACGGGGGCGATCAACTGGATTTTCGAAGCATAATAAGTGAAGAACCTGCTTCTCAGGTGAATCTCGTGCGCCCTGCTCCTGAGTACCAAGTCGAGCACAAACACGAAGGTATGAAGAAGCCTTTTACGAGCCTGCAGAACGCCACGGAGCCTTGGGACCCACCCCCACTTATGGACCCCGACTGCTGCAGTGTGCTAGAAAACAAGAATCGAACCCTTCGGGGTAGGTGGTACTTTATCACTTTATCAAGAACCGAGCCACCAGCTGCTGCTTGGCACAGTAATGCGCAGTGCGGAGCAAGATATCACAAGGCTACCCGCTCAGGGCCCCTCAAAGACAAAAGCTGTGACCCCACGCTGCGCCCACTGCCAAGAGTGTTTGTGTAGTTCACATGGAAAAGGCTCAGGGTCGGACAGCCTGCAGCCTCAGCTCCTCTTCGCGAAGGCGACGTTCCCGCGCATAGCGTTTGGCCTCGGGCAATAAAATCTCGACGTCAATGCTTGGGAAACTCGTGTGCCAGGAGCCTCCTCCGCTGCTTCTACTTTCTCCATTTTGATCTCCTCGACCGTATCCAGAACCTCGACAATTATGCTTCCGACTCGAGCTTGTCTCCCGATACCGTCACAGGCACAATGCCTTCATGAACTCTCCATGCAGGTGGTCGACTGAAACCTTGGCAACCCAAGACAACCTCCTGAGCATGGGCATGTTTGCTGCACAAGACTCGTTTGCAGCTGAGCTGCGCTGGCGCTAAATGCCTGCATGTCTGCGGCCGAAGGCCGCACACGTGCTTGCTGCTATTGCAGTGGGCATCTGTTGGTTGTCCGCAGGGGCTGCTCATCTGTGCGGGTGGCTTTGCTCTTTGCGGTGGCATGGCCCCCTCGTGCCTTCGCAGAGTCCACCTGGTTGTTCCAACCAATGTTCGGCATGGACATCGTCATTGTTACCTGCAGAAGTAACCGCATGCATTCTACACATGAACAGATGCGTACGCACGAATGTCCACTTATACCGTATACCTTCGTTCTTGCAGCCAGCTAGAGACCACGAGAATCCGGGGATGCCTTGAAACACCTTGAAGCTGAGGCTGCCTGCCAGGCAGATTCTTGCACGTCGCGGATTCAAGCTCTAGTTGTCTGCAGCGCCACCTGAAGTGTCGATCTATTTCCACTTTCGGCCCATGTGCACCAGAACCCTTGAGGTGAAGGTGCAGAGCTGCGAGCCAACCAGCCGAGCCACCGATGCGCTTGACTTCAACCGGCTTGGAGATTGCACAAGTCTGGCGCCGGGCCGGCACGAGCATGTGGGACATGGGTGCGGCTTGCTGCGGCCAGATTCATCCAAAGCAACCGTTTTGCGGACGAGCACCAATAATCAATGCATATCAATGCCACGTGTGGGCAGTACAAACAATCTCTCGTCTCCATCTGCCTTGAACAGATCAAGTTCGCAGGCACAAGCAGGCCAAGAGTATTTGTAAACAAAATGAGATAATGGCTGCGCTTGCAGCGAATCATTTACCTGCGCTACAGTGGAAAACAATCTGGATTGGCGAGCGCATACAGCTGAAGGATAGGGCGATCACTTGGCGGCGTACCTGTCAGTGCTGTCAGTGCCATTCGCTCCGATCTTCCCGAACAGCATGGAGCCGACGCCTCTGAAGAATCTTCTTCTTCTCCAACTTTCCCATTTGATTTCGTGGCCTTGTCAAGAGTATGATCGGAACCTTTCAAGGGCTGAGAAATGCTGCTGTGCACCCATCTGGGGCCCTGGCAGCTCGGTCACAATCTCCAGCTCTTGAGGTACCTTTCGTAAGAGAAGCTGGTTTCAGGCTCCCACACAGTGACCCATTCATCCTATTCATGCGAGGCGAATTCAAAACCCCTTCCCGGGCCTTGTAGGATGCCATTCGCTCTTTGCCCCATTCCCTAAGCTCCTCACGTCACGAAGCTCACAGCAACCCGTGGAAGATTGCATGCTTCCACAGAAAGCACGCTCCTTTATGGTCAGCACGGCACCGCTCTGCAGCACGCAGACTGCAGTCACCTGGACCAAATCGTCGGCGAAGTCTCAGAGTTGTCTTCACCGCACCGGGTGCCTTCTCGCCCCATGTCTCGTCAGGCTTTCCTACAACTGCGCATTCTCGAATCTTGTCGTGCTGCAGCAATACCTGCCGGTCTGTGTGTCCGGCGCATACAAAAATGCTGAGACAGACAGAGACAAAGCAGATGAGCATTGGGGCACGCTTTCAATTTCCAGGCCCGAAATCTTGTAACCACCACTCTTGATGATGTCCACAGAAGTGCGGCCTGATGTCATTTGTGGGGAAGTATACAAAAGTCGCGGGAACCCCTCCAAACCCTTTCCAGCCTAGAATTCTGTAAATCGCCGCCAGCGCAGGGTCCGGAGCCTCACAGGAGCCGTCCCAAGTTCGAGGCTTTTGCTCTGAGATCTTCCGAGAACCGAGCAGTGGTCGTATCTGCGCGTGGCCTGCCAGTAGAAGCCTCGACCTCGCGCGCATCGTCCTGTGCTTGGCGCAGCGGTTTCCAGAAACATCAGAAGGGTGCTCTTCGCAAGAGAAATCTTGCGTCGCCTGCAAAGCCTGAAGCTCTTCCCCGCTTCCTCCTTTGGCGGCCTCGCCAGCACCACGAGCACACTCAGGCAGGAATGCCGAACTTCAAAAGCCCCAGGCGTTGTCACCGGTCCTTGTGCATAAGCACATACGCTGCCAGAAAAAAATGAGCAGGAAGGGTCCTGAAGAATCCATCCTCGGTGAACTCCTTTGCCGTTGCCTCCTCACACATGCAGAAAAGTCAGGCAAGCAGACCCCAACATACGAACCAGTCACAGCATCCTGTCTCTTGTAGTACTCCTTGAAGACCGCTGCGCCTCGGCCCAGCACAGCAAAACTTGACGTGCCTTTAGGTTGAAAAGCGCTGGTGCCTTTGACAAGGATGCCACCTTCCTGCAGCCCAGGACTCCACATGTGTCACACATAGAGATGGGAGGGAGGGAGAGAGAGAGAGAGAGAGAGAGCGAAAAAGTGAGAGGGAAAGAGAGAGAGAGAGAGAGAGAGAGAAGCGAGAACCCACAGAGCTGAGTAGTTTGGGTGGCTCTCGGCTGTGCTTTACAAATGCCCTCGGACGAGACGAGGTATTCCGCCGCAGCGAGCTTCCGCTTCCAGTTTCCAATCCGCTCACCGGAAGATACAAGTCGCAACAGAAAAAATCATCTTGCAGGTGATGAGCGGAGCCCGCGACATCCGCGCATGCACAAACCCTGAAATCCCAAGCCTCTATGCAAAACACTAACTAAAAAGCCTGAAGCCGACCTAGCGCGAAACCTCAAAGCCGTAACAGTTAATTGCAGGGCAATCTCTGATTCCAAGACACAGTGATGATAACGCTTCTTTTGTGTCTTGAGCCAAATATCGGTGATAACGTCTTCGAGTGAAACTGCTTCAAGATGATCTACATAAGAAGGGCCTGGGGGCTCGTGATTTCTCAACTCCCCCCTTGTAGACAGCGTGAAACAGTTACTTACAGGAAACTAGTTCTACTGCGCGGCACTCGGAAACCTAACTCGTCTAACAACTGCGCTTCAGGCGGTTTCAGTTCAGCTGGTGCTCGAGGCGTAAACGCGACTAGCACGACACGGGACTGAAGTGGCCCTTCCCATGGCACAGTGCAGTGTCTAACAGACGGCTGGAAGAGTGCAGGCAGTTCTTCAATGCGACCTGGGCTATTGCAATCACGCTGTGGGCATTGCTGCTCACCAAGTGGATCCTGGACCCATATCTGACCACCCTTTACCTTGGTTAACGGGTAGACAAAGTTGTACGATCCTGGATCGTTGTACTTGTCAGTGTGCAAGTCAAACTGACAACCTTGGTAAATCGCTACAGCAGTGAAGGTTAGGTTCTTGGCCTGTTGCCGAACGAACCTTGTGAGGACACGCGTAACCCCCCTGAACTTGGACGTATTGCTCCTTAACCCTACTATGCCACCTCCATGTGCATACGCTCCGGTTGTAAATCCCTTACCCTCGGAAGAGACAACTGGGCGAGACGAAGAATCTGGAGGAAGAAGGTGGAACAGCTGCAGAATATTATTTTCTGTCAGTCTGTGTGGCAGGATGCCGGCAACAGACTCAGGATCAGTATCTGCAAGAGGATCTTCAGGAACGAAGTTCTGTGATGGAGCAGCAGGTATCGGGGCATTTGCGGAACCCTCAGACAGGCAAAGCTGTTCCAGCATGGATGGCCACTCTTGGGGGCTAATCACTTTCGTGAACCCATTTGCTCGTTGCTCCGTCGTAGGGCAAAAGGTTATCTCGACGTGCGGCTCTGCGAGTCTCTCACAGATAGACGCTACGTTGACCCTGTGCACCCTAGGCATGTGGCGGAGTTTAGCAGAATAGCCTGCCTTAAGAATGGAAATCACGGTATTATTGTCTTGCCTATAAAACACCGGGATCTCAAACCCAAGGATATCGCCTAAATATTCTTGAAGGTTTTCTACCTCTGAGAACATGGCGGTCGCGAGAGAGATCGTTTCGGCCTCTGTCGTGGACCGAGCTGTGGAGGATTGCTTACGCGATACCCAGTGGAGTGGATACGCGCAGTCTCCGGTCTTTGCAACGACGAGGATTCCAGTCGTGCTTTTCGCTGACAGAGGGCAAGAAGCAAAGTCTGCGTCTGTATACACCTCTATCTGGCAACCCAAGTCCTGTTGCGAAACAGACCCTTTTAAAGTCACACGACTTGAGTGATGGAGATACGACACACAACGCAGTAGTTGACGGTCGTCGAATCTATCCCATCGACTCACTTTAGAAGCTAACCTCGTGATTATGAACGAGATGTCTGGGCGAGCAAGTCTGCTGAGCCAGAGGGCTCGCATCAGGATGCGGGAGGCGGATCCGTGTAACTCACCGGTGCTGTTAAGCTCGCTGTCAGTTGCTTGGTTCTCGGGGAAAGCAGGTGACGCTACTTTGCGAAGCTTACTTTTCTCTACACCGGTCATTTCACAATAGAAATCAACAAGTTGCTGCGTGTAAGCAATCATGTCAAATTCACAAGTGGCTACTGAGTCATCACGCGTGAAACTGTGATGCCGCCCTAGAATCCTACAACCATTATTGCCGCCTTGAACAAAGACCTCTGGTTCAAGTTTCACAAGACCACGGAGCTTATGCCAGAACTGGGAATGAAGCTCTACGGGTCCGCTTAAAGTCAAGTCGTCGACGTAGACATTAAGCACTAACTTCTGGGAACCGAACTCGAAAACCCAAGTGCTAGGGTAGGCGGGAAGTTCGCGACCTCCGAGCCTTTTCAACTGAACGGTTAAGTGGTCTTGCCATCTCTTACCCGATTCTGGGTGCCCGTATAGGCTTTTCTCAAGTTTAACTACAAGACGGCTGTCGGGAGGGAACCTCTGGGTCCACTCGGGGAGCCAGAGCTCCCGAGGGATTATTACCCAGGTCTCTCGACCGATCTTCGCTTGCAAGTATGCTTGGATAGCATCTGCCACAGAGGTCGCGTGACCGGGGCGGAGCCCGTAAAAGAGGCAAGCGGCAAGACCTACCAACCCGGTTGGTGTAGTTGCAGTTTCTTCTGAGCCGAACAGCACTGGGTTACCAGAAGCGTCGCGCACTTGGTCCCCCCTAAAGACTACACGGCCTTTGTACTTGTGCTGTGTTGGGTGCAACTCAAAGTGCTTTACACCACAAAGCGTCAGAAGTTCAGCGATTTGGACTCGGCGTCCAGTGTTGCGGCAATCCTGTTTCAGTTGCCACAAATGCATTACGGAATCGTCGCTCCATGTCTGGTTTGAGCGGAGTCCTACACCCTCAGCCTGAACAGCCTCTAAACCTCGAGCATCCTTCAACCATTCGCTCTTAGCAAGATTGCGTGTCACTAACGCATTACTTGACGACAACGAAGGTGTGTGGCGATGGAAGTGCTCGGGGAAGAATGACTCGACTATCAGCTGAGCGACTTGTGAGTTGTAGTCGCTATTGGCATAGGAATCGTCTCCTTTCGACACACTTTGCGAAGTGGACTGGCTGTGCTCGTGTTGTCCAAACAGCTGGAGCACTCGAAGAGAAGTGGTGCTGATGCACGACCGCTTACCAGAGGAGCATCCGCTGAGCATTACTCTTTTCAAGTTCGCGCGCTTCTCGAACTCAATCCAATCAGACTCGTTCCAGAGCCAACCCCCTTCTGGGCAGTCGACTGCAACATGGCAGCCGTTGGAAAGCTTTTCTTCGGCTAGCGAGATTGCGAGTTTCAGCATTTGGCGACACTTCGCCCGGCTCTTTCTGAGCTGTGCTTTCTTACTCGCTCTATGTTCGTGCACAGTTGGGTGTTGTTGTGCTGTTTGTTCAAGGCATAACATAGGCATCCAGATCACAGCGCCTTGCTTTATCTGACCTTTGGCCTGATCAACATGAGCTGGGTCTGAGAAGTCTATCGTTGAAGATCCTATGTTAAGACAATCAACCCCGTACATCGTGCAGGCAAAACCAATCTCGGAGGAGTCGCTGCAGCAGTACTCGACAAGTTGGTTTGTACTCGAAGCCTTAGACCTACGGATCTGGCGATCTCGGGCTACAAAGCTGACATCTGGAACGAACAACTCCTGATTTACCAATGCTCCTAACCCTCCACCAAAGTCGTCGGAATCCTCGTCCGGATGAGCGGGTGATCTTTCTGCAGCATCGGGCGCTATCTCTGCCGGAGGATCGGGACTAAGAGGTGCAGGAGGAGGAACTGGCGTTGGAGGAATACTGACTGGTGTCGGAGGTACCGATTTGATACGGGCCTCGGCGGTTTTGTCGGCACGCACTAACCCATCAAAGCGAACCTTGCACACTGGAGAATGAACCACAGCTTCGCCTTTGCAAGCCTTGCATCCCGGGGTTATCCCGTATTTTATTATACGATCAAGAGTGATATACTCGTGCCGCTTTGCTGGCGTAGAGTCGGGGCCAAGTGGGCTGAACGGCACTTCTAAACCCTTAATGTCCGGAAACTTAGGTTCAGTGAATCCCTCGACCGCACGCTCGAAAGCGGCGCGCATCGGGAAAATCTCTTCACCCTCGGGGACAAACAACTCTTCAAAGGGCACCGAAATTGCAAGATCGTATCCAGGAGTACCGTCTTTGGTTTTCCGGTAATCTAAAACAAGGTAGACCCCTCTAAAGGACTCCGGCCCTGAATCTAACCGATAACCACAAAACAAAGCTGGTGCGGCGGAAGGTTCAAACTTCTCTCGGTGTTTGGGATCAGTCCTGTAGTACACGAGCTGACCTAGAAGTAGAAGACGCCCGGGGAACTCCTCACCGGTGGCGGCTACGTAACGGGACTCCTTACGGTCGGCAATGCTGTGCTTAAGGTTCAACACAAACGTTGCAAATACCGCCGAATGAGCCCAAAGACCAGGTCTTATTGCAAAACCGGCTTGTAAATGTACCGCGCGGGTGACCTCTTGGATCGACCTGATGTCCCGCTCGAGAACAGAATTATGCGGCCAACGATTAGCTAATGTGGGCTCAGAGACCCAAGACATTTGCTGGCAAGCCGATTCAAGTTCTTTCGCGTTGTCTGACTTGAACATGACGACAGGCTTCGACTCCGCGTGCTTACCGGAAAATTGCAAAAGTGCTCTGACTACGTTTTCTGTTGTGCGCCTGACTAGGGGAAAGGAGCGCAAGTAGCCAGAGAATTCATCGCGCACTACAAGCAAGGTCGATTCACGATCCTCT